TCAGTCTGGGGCTGCGGCGGCTGCAGCATCGCGTGCGGGAGGCGCAGGCAGTGCGGGAGCACGGGGCAGCGCTGGGGGACGGCCCTGCAGGTGAGGGGTCGGGGCGGGGAGTCGGGGCCGAAGGGATGCACACGGTGCTGATGGCCCACCCTGCGTTCCTCCACAGCCTCGAACGCGCGGGACCCGCAGCTGAAATCGGAAGGGAAAGCACCAGAGAGTGTAGGTGGGGCGGTGGGGTTGGTGTGTGGGGCTCGGTGGGCTCGGTGCCATGCGGACCACGTTGCTGTGCCCCCCCCTCCCCCAGGAGCTGCCCGCGCTCCTCCTGGAGGCCACCAAGGAGCTGGAGGCGGTCAGGCAGCAGGTGCTGAAGCGCATCCAGATCTGGAAGCGGCAGCAGCAGCTGGCGGGGAACGGCGCGCCCTTCGAGGAGAACCTCGCGCCGCTGCAGAAACGGTGGGGGGGCATCGAGGGACCCACGGGACCCCCCAAGCCGTGGGGACACGGCCGTCCCGAGGGGCTCCGGGGCTCAGGGCGTCCATTCCCCGTGGTTTCTTGCAGGTGTGAAGGTTTGGTGGAGGTTCACTTCCAGCTGCATCAACAGGTGATGGCGGCGGGCGCAGAGCTGGGGGCAGAGCTGCTGTCCCAACTGCTGGAGCGGCTCAACGAGGTCCTGTCCAGCCTGGTTCGGAGGTAACATGTGGAGATGGGGCTGCAGGGGGTTGGGGCAGGGCTCGGGGGCGGGGGGCGGCGGGGGCTGGAGCAGAGCTTGGTGCCCCCTCAGCTCCTTCCTGGTGGAGAAGCAGCCCCCCCAGGTGCTGAAGACGCAGACCAAGTTCCAGGCGAGCGTCCGCTTCCTGCTGGGCCCACAGCTGCTGCAGGCATCCCCCAAACCCTGCATGGTGCGTGCCGATATGGTGACGGAGAAGCAGGCACGGGAGTTGGCACACAGTGCTTACAGCAGCACCCTGAGGTGAGGAGGGCACCCGGCGTGGGGCTGTGACCCCCCGGCACCACCCCAACAGCCCCTCACCCTCCGCCCAGTGAGAGCACCGGGGAGATCGTGCACAACGTGGTGCCCTTGGAGACCAACCCGGGCAGCGGGACCTGCAGCGCCAACTTCAAGAACGTGGTGAGGGGCAACGCCGGGGGCTTCTGGGTTACGGGGGGGTCCTGGGGGAGGCTGGACCGCTCAGTGCCCGCCTCCGCCCTCAGATGCTGAAGAAGATAAAGCGCTGTGAACGGAAGGGCTCCGAATCGGTGACGGAAGAGAAATGCGCCGTCCTGTTCAGCTGCACCGCGGGGCTGAGCCCCAGTGGGACCACCGTGAGGCTGCAGGTGCGCGATGCTAGAGGAGGGGGGTTGGGGGGCTGCAAGCTGTGGGGCTGAAGCTGAGCACTGCCCCCCGACAGGTCCTGTCCCTCCCCATCGTGGTCATCGTCCACGGGAATCAGGACAACAATGCCAAGGCGACGGTGCTGTGGGATAATGCCTTCTCTGAGATCGTGAGCGCAGCGGGGGGCTGCGGGGGGCAGGGGGCGTTGCAGGATGAGATGCACCGATGCTGATTGACCCCCCCAGGAGAGGGTGCCCTTCGTGGTGGCCGAGCGCGTCCCCTGGGAGAAGATGTGCGAGACGCTGAACCTGAAGTTCATGGCGGAGGTGCAGACCACCAAAGGGCTCTTGAAGGAGCATTACTTCTTCCTGGCCCAGAAAATCTTCAACGACCACAGCGCCGCTCCGGAGGACTTCCAGAGCCGCAGCGTCTCCTGGGCGCAGTTCAATAAGGTCCGGGTTGGGAGACGGTGCTGTGGGGGGGAGAGCTGGGGGGTTAGTGTGGCCCTGGGACCCTCACAGCCCTCCTGTGTCCCAGGAGATCCTGCCTGGACGGGGCTTCACCTTCTGGCAGTGGTTCGATGGAGTCCTGGACCTCACCAAGCGGTGCCTCAAGAGCTACTGGTCAGACCGGTGGGTGCTGGGATGGAGCATGGGGGCTGGGGGGGGGGCACGTGTCTGTCCGTCCGTCCCTCAGTGCCATCGGTCTGTCCCCATAGGCTGATCATTGGCTTCATCAGCAAGCAGTACGTGTGCAAGCTGCTGAGCACGGAGCCCGACGGAACGTTCCTGCTGCGCTTCAGCGATTCTGAGATCGGGGGGGTCACCATCGCTCACGTCATCCGTGGCAAGGATGGTGAGCTGGGGCGGGCTGCCCCACGTTGGATGTGGGGCAGAGATGCAGTTTTGTGCCCCCCGCCCCCCCATAGGTTCCAGCCAGGTGGAGAACATTCAGCCTTTCTCTGCTAAGGACCTTTCCATCCGCTCCCTGGGGGACCGCATCCGTGATCTGAGGCAGCTGCGCAACCTCTACCCCAGCACCCCCAAGGATCAGGCGTTCGGATGCCACTACAACAGTGAGCCATGGGGGGGTCGGGGGGCTGGGGGGGTCCCACGGCGTCTGGGCAGCACGCTGGCAGCACTCAGGGTGCTCTCCTTTCTCACAGAGGAGCAGACAGGGAAGGACGGACGGGGCTACGTCTCCACCGCCATCAAAATGACAGTGGAAAGCGAGAGGTGGGCACGGGGAAGGGGGGGGGTGGCAGCCGTGGCACGGGGGTGGGAGAAAAAACAACCTGGGTGGCTCTGAGAGAATCCCTTCCCCCCCCCACTGTCGTCTCCATCTGCACTTCTGTAGGGACCAACCGCCCCAGAGCACTGCGGGGGGGGGTCCCGAGGATGCCCAACCCCCCCTGTTCGCCCTCCCCATGCTACAGCCCGAGCTGCAGCCCGAGAACCTGCTGAGCTCCATCTGGTGAGTGCTCCGCAGTGGGGGAGTGCTGCAGAAACCCCCACCTGCTTACCCCAGCCACCCCCCATGTGCCCTTGCAGCCCCCCTGCCCCGTTCTGTCCCCAGCCCATGGGCAGTTACCCCCCAGGTGAGAGCAGCATCAGCACAATGGTCACCGAAGGCCTCCGCTCCTCATTCCCCAGGTAAGAGAAGTGCTGGGGTGGGGGGGGCAGAGGGGGGAGAGTGGGGGGAGGAGGGTGGGAACGCCCCCCCCACCTCATCACACTCTGCTTCCCCCACAGCCCAGGGCCAGTGCTCTCCTCACCCCCTCTGGTGATGGACCCTGCCATGCCCCGCTGCCAGGACCCTTTCCGGAACCCCATGTAAGAAGTGGGGAGGGGGACCCTGCCACCCCCACCCCAGTGCTCCCCGCAGGGAGATGCCCCTCCAGCCCCGAATCAATCCCTGTAGCGCAGGCTGGCAGGGAGATGCCCCATGCCAACCCCCAGCCCCTCTCCCCCTTTTTGCCCCGCCAGGAGCTTTCTACCCAACCAGTTTCTGCCTGGGGAGGGTCCCCCCCGGGTGGAGGGTCCCCACCAGCTGATACCCGGGGGTCCCTCCCCTGAACCCCGAGATGTGGAGATGCCAGAGCTCGGCCCCTTCGAAGCCATCAACACAGCACTGCAGAGCTCCCCGAGGTGGTAAGTGCTTGGGGGGGGGGGGGGGAAGAGCACAGTGCGGGGGAGGGGTCAGCCCCAGTGACCCCTTGCCCATCACCCCCCCCTCAGGCTGCCGCCCAGCACAGAGCTGCCCCCTGCCTCTGAGTTTGATCAGTTCCTGCAGGAAATGTCTCTGGAGGACCCCACGTTGTGCCCCCCCTTCACGCCCTCCCCACAACGCAGTGCATACCCCAACCCCACTGCATCCTACTGGGGGCTGGGGGAGTCCCGTTGGGATGACAGCGTCCGCCCGGGGCACGTGTGAGGGGTGGGGAGGGGGGGGGCATCGCACTGTGCCCCCCCACACACTGCCCCATTGAGTTGCATGGACTTGGCACAAATTGCTCAGGGGAGGGGGGGATTGGGGCGGAGGGACGACAGCATTTGGATACCATTCTGTTCCCCCCCCCCCCCCCCCACCCGTGCACACGCTGCACTTTGAAGCACAGAGCTACAGCCCCAGGTGCTGGGGGGGGTTGGGGGCAGGGGGGTGCAGGCAGGGGGTTCCCATCCCCCATGGGGGGGCCCATTGCCTCACACAACGACCCCCACCCACATCACCCCAACCCACACTGCGGGCTCAGCCTCTGCGGGGGCTGTGGTGACTCATTCTTGAGCGGGAGGGGGGCTGTGCCAGCACAGTGCTCAGCCCCCACCTCCTTGGGGGGGAAGAGGGGGGGGGGCAGGAGGGCAACAGAACCCCCTTCCCCTCCCCCCATAGGGCCACGAAGCCTCACACACCCAGGGCTGGCGCTTGCTTTGGGATCTCTTAGCTGTCCCGTCCCCCCCCCCCCCCACCTCAGAGCAGGGTAAGGACTGGGGGGGGGGGTGATGGAGGGGGGGGGGGGCAGGACTATAAGCCGTAAAATAAAATTTTATTCCAAAATAACAAAATAAATAATCTACTGTACACGTTACAAAGGAATTGTCGCTAATGCTCTAAAAAGACACCACACGGTCCTACGGGGGGGGACCCCGGGGGGGGGGAGGGGACGGGGGGCACAGCACCCCAGCGCCCGTCTAACACCTGCAGTGCGCTGGAGGGGGGGGGGGGTACCAGCGTGACCCCTCCCCATCGCATGGACCCGGAGCGGGCTGTGCATGGGGGGGCACCGAGCGGGGTTCGCTGTGGGGTTTTGTACAGTGGGGTGAGTGCATGCGGGGGGGGGGGGGCGGCAGCACGTGCGTGCGCTGCGGGGGCTGCGAGGCAGCACCAGTCCGAGTGTGGGCGGCTGCACGAGGCGATGAATGGCCTTGGGGGGGCGGGAGGGGGCTCTGCACATCGAGCTTCAGTCCCTGGGGGGGGGGGGGGGCCGTGCTCAAAACACGGATGGAGGGGAGAATATTGCTGCTGCGGGATGGGGGGGTGCCCGCTGCGGCTGAGGTAACCGTGCGGGGGGGGTGGGACGTGGGGGGGCAGTGGTGGAGCCCCCCCACCCGGCACCCATTGCCCCACTGCTTCTGGCCCCCCGGCTCTCCGCCCGTTATTGCTTCGTTAGTCGTGGGGGGGGGGGGGGGTAGAGGGGGAAAGGTGAGGGGCGCGGGGCTTCACTGCCGGCTGTTTTCCTGCTCCACCTTGATGGTGCCGCGCGGAGGGTCTGGGGGGGCCGGGGGGCCGCGCTCTGCCAATCCGTCCTCGAACTCTGCGGGGAGAGAGGGGTCAGAGCCCCAGTGAGTGCCGGGGGGAGGCAGCGCCAGCAGCCCCCGCGGGCTCCATGAGGGGCTCACAAGGGACGGGGGGGGGGGGGGGGGGGAACAGGATGGGGCACACCCGGAGATCCCCTATGGCTGGGGCTCACCCGGAGGGGGGCTCACTCGGGGGGCTTCCCTGGGGCTGGGATGGGGGGGGGGGCTCACCTGGGGGTTTCCCAGGCAGGCAGGGGCTGAGCCGCCCCACGCGTTCGTGGGAGACCAATCGCGCCAAGCGCAGCCCCTCATCCATGAGCGTCTGCTGCAGAACGTGCCGGCTCCAAAGCCCGTGCGGGGGGAGCGCGAGGGGCGCATCGGGGGCAGCGCCGGGCGGGGGGGTCAGCCGGGGACAGAGCCCCGCCGCTGCGAAGAGAGGGAAAGGGTCACCCGGGGGGCTCGGGGAGGGAGGGCCGCCATCTGCCCCGCACTGCCCCCCACTCACCCTGCGCGTGGCCGTCCACGCTCTCTCCGGCCGCTCCCCCCGCATCCTCCTCGTTGCCGACTCGGTATGGGGGTGCGTGGAGGTCCGACCCCAGCGAGGGCGGCTCGGCGCGACTCTGCTCCCCCACCTGCACGGAGCACACGGGTGAGCGCCGGGCCCCCCACCCCCCCCGCACGCAGCCCCGAGCGCACCGAGCCGTCACACCTACGTGTGGGCGACCGCTGCCCACGCTCACAGCTGTGCGTGCACGCACACGCGTGGGCCCCCCCGGAGCACGCATCCCCCCTCCCCCTCCGCATACAGCCCCGCACCCACCTCCTGTTTGAGCCGCTTGGGCGCGCTGGCCCCGCCGTCCTCGGGCTGCGCCCTGTGCGGGTAGGAGCACAAAGGGCTGCGTCAGTGCGGGGGCAGCACCGCACGGTTCCCCCCTACGCTGCGGGGCGGTGCTGTGGGGCGCAGATGGAATCAAAGCGGGGGGGCAGAGGGAGCAGAGCAGCGCCGGCAGAGCCTTCGGGGGGGGGAGGGGGAAGGGAGCTCGGGACTGGGGAGGTCGGGATGGGAGAATTCAGGACGGGGGGCTCCCCTTCGACCTGAAACAGCATCCCCTATGCCGTGCCTCCCTCCCTTCCCCCCCGGCAAACACGCACTCTGAGGCACCAAACTGCCTCAGAAAGGGGAACTCGCGGCACCCACCCCCGCCCGGAATTGCCGGCGATGGAGGTGGTGCGGCTCCCATGGGGGGAACCCCACGTGTGGACTGCGGGGGAGGGGGGAGAAGGAGGGGATGCTGGGGGACTCCGGCGCTCACCTGGACACCTTGAGCGAGGACAGGTAGGTGCTCTCCCTCGCGACCTGTCGTGACAGCGAGAAGAGCTCAACGCGCCGCAGCAGCAGCGAATTGTCCCGCAGGCAAAACTGCGCGGCCGCCTCGTTGATGATGAGCTGCGGGCACAGAGCCGTGAGTGGCACCGGCGAGGGGCACAGCGAGCCCCCAGCCCGGCACGTCCCCCCCATCCCCTGGGGGGCACCCCCACCCCGACCCCCACCTCGTGCAGCGTCAGCTGTTTGCCCTCCCGGCGCCGCGCATCACCGCGGCCGTAGATCGCGCTGTGCCGCCGGATCTCCTCTTCCTTCTGCCGGTCGCCGTCTTCCAGCTGGAAGATGTGCCCGACGGCTTTGGCCAACTTCTTATTGAGCTTCAGCAGAGCCCGCAGCTCCGCGTCCCCCCCCCGGGGGCAGCTCTGCAGCAGCCGCTCGACGCTCTCCGCCACCGTCCGCACCAACTCCGGCTCCAACACGTCGCCGCTCGACGGCTGCTCGGCGCCCCCGGGGGAGAAGGGGGGAGCACCTGGCTCCTCATCCCCACCGCCCTCCGATTCGGGGGTGCTCCTACCCGGCCACGGAGGCGCCCCCGAAGGCGACAGCTTCTCTGGGGGTTCCGTGGGGCTGCGAGCGGGGGGCGTCCCCGCGCTTCCCCCCCCTTTCCCCACAGCCTCGCCGGGGCTGGCGTGCCCGTTGCTGAGCGATTTGCGCCCGCTCCCGTCGGACAGCTTGAAGAGAGGGATGCTGCTGACGGGCACGGCCGGCACCGGCTGGCTGAAGAGCCCCGGGTTGGACGCCCACTCTCGCAGTGCCTTCTGCAGGCGGCGGACGTGCAGCGGTTTGGTGGCCATGCCCACCAGCGCCATGATCTCCAGGAACTCCTCCTCGCCCGCCTCGCACAGCTGCTGCACGTCGTCCCCTCCTTGCTGGATGAAGGTCTCGTAGTAGCCCAGCAGGTTGGCACGCTGCAGTACCCGGTACAGCTGCAGCTCCCCCAGCGTGCGAGGCACAGCCATGGCGCGCCTGTGGGCCAGACAGACGGCGTGACGGACGGACATCCCCACAACCCCCGGATCTGAGCTGCACCCCCCCACACCTTTCGGCCCGAGGGCACGCGGGGCTCCATTGAGCATCCAGAGCCACACGTGAACTCAGGCCGCACCCACAGCTGCCCCGACCCTAACGCAGACACGAGTGGGGCCCCACTGGGGAGAGCTGGGAACCCCCCCGCCCCCATCTCACACCCCACGGCCCCACCCGTGCCCCCAGCCCATGGGGCACCGCTTAGGGCAGAACACACCCAGGGCTGCCCCAGTCGCTCCCAACCCCACGGGGACAGCAAAGTCCCAGAAAGCCCAGCCCCCCCCCTTTGGCCTGGAGGAGCACAGAGGGCTCTGCAGACCTCACCGGGCATTCGGGCCGACGCGTGCTCCCAGGGCCAAGCTGGACCCCACACCCACATCTTCCCTGATCCCAACACGGACACGAGTGTGGCCCCACGGCAGAGCTGTGAACCCCCCCACCATTCACACATCACGGACCCACCCGTGCCCCCAACCCACGTGGAGCAAAACACACCCAAGGCTGCCTCGACCCTCCCCCAACCCCACGGTTACAGCGATGTCACGGCGCACCCCCCGACCCCCCGCCGCCCCCCGCTCTGCCTCCCCCGCTCGCTCACCGCGGGCTGCAGCCCCGTCCGGCCGCTACGCGCGCCCCGTGGGCATGGACGGAGCGTTCCGGGGGGCTCGGGAATCCCGGGGGGCGTTCGGGGGTCCCGCGGCCGCGCCGTGCGCGTTCGCTCCGCCGCGCCGCGCCGCTCTGCGCGCCGCCCACACGGGCGGTACCGAGAAATAGCAGCGGCCCCGGCTGCGGCGCGGCGTGGGAGGCTCCGGAGGCGGATCCCGCGGCTGCCGCCCCCGCTGAGCGCGGCGTGGGAGGCGGCAGCGGGGAGGGGGGAACCGTAGGACCGCCTCATCCCCCCAGCCGAACCGGGACGGGAGGGAACGGGTGCACTCAAGGCGTGCGGCGGCACCGGGGGTCCCGTCGGGCAGTGCGCGGAAACCGACGGAGAGCAGCGGGGAAGCGGGGTTGGAGCCCCGGGCGGGCGCCGCTGGGGCAACCGGAGCCTGCGGGGAGGACGCCCGCATCTCAGAGAGCACGGCTGTTACCAGGGGTGTCGGTGCTACACCCCCCCTGCAGCCCCATGCCGCTTTCTGGCTGTAGGACCGCCGCGGGGTCCGAGCACCACCGCTCAGCCTCCCGCGGCGGGGGGAGGAAGGAGGAGAGGCTTCAGAGCGAGCAGCTCTGCGGCAGAGCGGGTCGAGTCCGGTCCGGTGGAAGCAGAGGAATCCTTCAGTCCCCGTCCCCGTCCCCGTCCCCGTCCCCGTCCCCGTCCCCGTCCCCGTCCCCGTCCCCGTCCCCGTCCCCCCCAGCACCCCGCGGGCATCGCCCCAACCCCCCCAGCTCTCCCGCCAAGCTTCAGCCCGGCTCTATTTATACCGCGCCGGCGCCACCGCCCCCGCGCCCTCTGCCCCGCGGGGGGGGGGGGGGGGGGTGCACGACAGCCCAGCGCCGCGTTCCGGGGCCGTCGGGGGGCAGTGAGGATCCCGCCCTGCTCCATCCCCGTAGCGCAGCTCCGTTCCGCACCCCCCCCAGCCCACAGACCCTCCACGGCCGAGCTGTCCCAACTCCCCCCCCGCCCCCCTCCCCGGTCCGGCCGTTCCCAGGCTGCCCCCGGCTGACGCACATCCTCCGCCCACGGCCCCGCCGCTTCCCGGCTCCGCCGCCCACGACTCGGGGGGGCCGCCCGAGCCCGATCCGCCCACGGAGCCGAGCGCCGGAGGGAAGGGGGAGGCTGCGGAGCACGGCCGGTGCTGCCCCCCGCCCCTCCTGAGTCGCCCCCTCCCCACGTTGGGGATCCCGGGTGGGCATCACGCAGCCCAAAGGAACCCGGTGCGGGGACCGCTGCCCTGTACTCCGCAGAGACCCCCCCCCCCCCCCCCCCCCGAAAACAACGAGGTGCCGCCTCCTGATAGGCGGAGCCCTTGTCAATCAAGCCGGCTTAGAGGAGAGGGGCGGGAGAGCCGAAGCTGACCGCTGATTGGTTGAAGTGGATGCCCGTCAAACTCGTTGCTAAGGTGGGGCTCGCGGTTGCTACGGTGTGGGCCGGCTTCGAGATTGAGCGGACCTCGTGGCGGTCACCTTGGTAACTGAGGGCGGGACCAAATCCTCGTCTTGCCTAGGCTATGCTGACAGGCTGAATGCTTTGTCAGTCAACACTGCAGGCGACGAGGACCTCGCGAAGCCGCCTCCCTATTGGTCCCTTTAGCCGTCACCGATTGATGACGTCAGACGGGCCTCGCGCTCTCATTGGATGCTGCCTTGTACTCCGTCGCAGTCGCGGGTGTGGGCGGGGCGGCGGAAGCGGAAGTTGGCCGGGGCGCCATGGCGGGAGGGATGAAAGCGGTCCCGGGGCGACAGGGGATCCTGGGCGCGCTGCTGCTGCTCCTTCTGCTGCCTCCGCTGCGCGGTGCGGGTGTGTGATGTGATTTTATACGGGGCTTTCACGGGCGGGGAGCAACGTCGCCGCGGGGCGCTGGATGGCTTCGTAGGTCCGGCCACGCGCAGCGCTCCGGGTCTGAGGGGCCTCGAGTGGGGCTGGGGGAGCTCACGTTGGGCTGGGGGGCTCCGGGAGGGGCGGGAGCGGTCATGGGGTGACCCAGCGCGTCCCGGCTGAGGACTCGTTCTGTTCCACCGCGTGCGCACGGTGGGGTCCCTCGGGAGGAGGGCACCGCGCAGCAGAGCGGGTGGCAGCGGAATCTCGCGTTGCGTTTCTGAGTTTTCCTCCTCAGCTCTGCGCTGTGAAGGCGTTGGGGAGAAGGTGTTGGCGCTGCAGGAGGGCTCTGAGCGTTGCTGCACCACCTCGCACCACTTCTGCTACACCAATGTGCGCAGCCCCTGCTGGCGGGACATCTGGACCAGGATGCAGGTGAGGGGGGGTGGCATCCTCTCCCCCTCAACCCCCCCGGCCACAGGGCTGAGCCCACCCTGAGGATGCCCACATCTGCTTTCTCCCCCTATGCAGATCCGGGTGAACAGCAACCACGTGATCCGTGTCACCCAGGTGGGCAGCGAGGAGGAGCTGAGGGAGTTGGAGGAGTCCAAGGTGTGGAATTTTCTCTCCTCCCTGCTGAAGGAGAAGCTGAACAGCACCAACATCGATGTGGATCTCTACAGCAACAAAACCTGCCTGAAGGTTGAGCTGCTGGAGGCTGACACCAAATACTGCATCGTTCTGTCCCGCTGTACGTCTGGTCTGTGGGCAGTGGGTCCTCCCATAAGGGGCTGCAAGCTTGTGCTGCTGCATACAGTAAAGAAAAATGGGCTTGCAGAGGAGGAATACTTGGATACAGAATGGGAGGGACACAGGGCACTTGTCAGAGCTTTGCCACAGGCGCTGCCTCTCCTTGCTTGCTGTCAATGCGTCAGAGTGGAGCTTGCACTCAGCGCACCCTGCTGGGATTTCTCCTAAGCCAGGCTTGTTCTTCTTCCAGGGTATGACCCTAAACTGTTCCTGGTTTTCTTCCTGGGCCTGTTGTTGTTCTTCTGTGGGGACATGCTGAGCAGGTGAGTTGCCTCCTGTCCCCTGTGAGCTGGATTTGCAGAGTGGCTCCTTCGTGTGCATGCTGCGGGAAGGCAGAGTATTTCTGTCTGCTTCTCTGAGCCTGCAGGGCTTGCCAGGCCTCGCTCCATGAGCTCTATGGGCCTCTGTGCAATTTCCCTGTGAAATTTTGGGAATGTGAGGTGCCTTTCTGTTGGCACCGGGCGCTGGGATGCTCAGCCTGCATGCTCGCAGAGTTTACTGCCAGCAGAAATGTTTGTACGCAGACATCATCTCACAAGCTGTGAAACACCTTGTGTGCATGTGTGATCTCTGCAGGAGCCAGCTCTTCTTCTACTCAGCTGGGATAAGCATTGGCTTGCTGGCCTCGCTGCTCATCCTCATCTACGTGATGTCCAAGGCCATGCCCAGGGTGAGCAAACTGTGCTTTTGTGGCCTTGTTCTGTTTCATTGTGGATCTGGTCTCGCGCAGAGCAGGATGTGGCAGTTGAAGGGATGCAGCTGTCAGTGTCTTCTGCCAACAGCCTCTCTTGATTCTCACGTTTCCTCTCCTAGAAAAGTCCTGTTTACTTCCTGCTGCTCGGAGGCTGGTCCTTTTCCCTGTACCTGCTTCAGCTGGTCTTCAAGAACCTGCGGGAGATATGCAGGTCCTACTGGCAGTACCTGCTGGGTAGGTGTGGGCTCTCAGACCCGCCAGCTCACCACACCACGCGGCTCTTTCTGGAGCTTCAGCACGCTGGTGGGAAATGTTGGTGCCTCCTGTGGCCTCCTTGCAGCCGACGCTGTTTCTGAGATGCCGAGAGGAGCAAACTGCAGCACCGGGTTTGGCTGCAGCCCCGGCAGGCGCTGCTCAGCGTCTCCAGGTTGAGGCAGCACCAAGGGAGCCCCTGCGCCTGACTCCTCTGCTCTCCTGCAGGCTACCTGCTGCTCATGGGCTTCGTGAGCTTCGGAGTGTGCTACAGGTACGGCCCGCTGGAGAACGAGCGCAGCATCACCCTGCTGTCCTGGGCCCTGCAGCTCCTGGGCCTGGCGCTGATGTATCTGGGCATCCAGATCCGCCCCGTCGCCGTGGCCTTTGTGCTCATTGCTGTCTGCACCAAGAACGTGGATTTCCCCCTGCAGTGGATCTATGGTGTCTACAAGTGAGTGAGCACTGCTGACTCTCGGTTCCCCGGTCTGGGTGAGCTGCACAGACCCTGCACTGCAGAACCAGGGTGTTTCTCTGGGGTGGGAGCACAGGGGCGGTTGTGCCCCTCCTCCCCAGCTTGGTGTGATGCAGCATCGCGCTGCTCACCGCTGGGGCCGCTCAGGAGCAAGATGCAGAGCCCAGAGGGGTGCGCTGTGCGCTGCTCCTGGGGCCCAGCCTGGCCAATAACTGGCGCTGTTCTGCCGGTAGGAGGGCACAGAGCGCCTGGCTGGGGCCCAGCCCCCCTCGCCTGCTGACCGAAGAGGAATATCGCATTCAGGGGGAGGTGGAGACACGGAAGGCCCTCGAGGAGCTTCGAAACTACTGCAGAAGCCCGGATTTCTCTGCCTGGACTGCAGTGTCCCGCATCCAGTCTCCCAAAAGGTAACATCCCCTGGCAGCCAGGTGGCCAACCTCACCTGGAAGCTCGCAGTTGCTCCGTGCTGCCACCTGTGGCTTCAGAGAAAGGGAGCCCGAGGCACTGGAGATCCCTGCAGCGTGGAAGCAGGGTGTGCAGCAAAGCAAGGACAGATAATGCTGTTATCATAAAAAATCGTAATTGCTGATGATACAAAGTTGGGAGGATTGGCTGACACGCCTGAAGGCCGTGCTGCCATTCAGCAAGACCTGGACAGGCTGGAGAGCTGGGCAAAAAAAAACCGGATGAGGTTTAACAAAAGCAAGTGTAGAGTCTTACATCTGGGGAGGAATAATCGCATGCACCAGTACAGGTTGGGGATGAGCTGCAGGAGGGGGAGCTCTGCGGAGAGGGAGCTGGGTGTCCTGGTGGATGACAGGTCGGCCATGAGCCAGCAGTGTGCCCTTGTGGCCAAGAGGGCCAATGGCATCCTGGGGTGCATTGCACAGAGCGTGGCCAGCGGGTCGAGGGAGGTGATCCTCCCCCTCTGCTCTGCCCTGCTGAGGCCTCATCTGCAGCACTGCGTCCAGTTCTGGGCTCCCCAGTACAAAACAGACAGGGATCTCTTGGAAAGAGTCCAGCGGAGGGCCGCAAAGATGGCGAGGGGCCTGGAGCATCTCTGCTATGGGGAAAGGCTGAGTGAACTGGGTCTGTTCAGCCTTGAGAAAAGAAGGCTGAGAGGGGACCTGATCCAGGTCTATGAATATCTAAGGGGTGGGGGGCAGAATGGCGAGGCCAGACTGTTTTCAGTGGTGAGTGGAGACAGGAGGAGGGGAAACGGCCGGAAACTGCAGCATAGGAAGTTGTGCAGCAATGTGTGCAAGAACTTCTTTACAGTGAGGTGAGGAGCACTGGAACAGGCTGCAGGGAGGTGGTGGAGTCTCCTGCTCTGGAGATGTTCAAGACCTGCCTGGATGCCGACCTGTGCAACCTGCTGTAGGAACTGCGTGGGCAGGGGGTTGGACTCGATGAGCTCTGGAGGTCCCTTCCAACCCCTACAATGCTGTGATTCTGTGATAACCGCAGCCCTGGCCCAGCCTCCTCTGTGCTGGATGCAGCTCTGCCCGCACCATGAGCACTCAAAGCCGTTCCCTCGTGCCAGGGCACTCAGATGCAAGCACACAGTGAGTTTCTTTGCTGCTTCTTCCCAGGTTTGCTGAGTTTGTGGGCGGTGCCTCCCACCTCACTGCCAGCGAGGTGTCCTTCCACGAGCAGGAGTTCGGCCTGGGCGGGGAGTTCCTCGAGGAGCAGCTCTTTGAGGAGGACGAGGAGGAAGATTTTCTCCATGGAGAGACAGCATGGGCTGCTTGTGGTCCCACAGCCCACCTGACTGCTGATTGAGGTCAGCTGCCCCGCAACCCCAAGGGAGAGCAGCAAAACCGCTGTGGCTCCTCACTTTCCTGACACCTGCAGGGCCCAAAACCCTCAGCTCAGGGCTGAGCTGGTGTCGCTGTGCCCAGCATCTCTGATTCCACCCCAAGCTGGGCTGCTGCGAGCCTGGCTCTGCTGCGGAGCTGCTAGGAGGATGAAGGGTAACTTTTCCCAGGGTAACTCCTACCCAGCTGAGGCACAAAAGCTTTTATCAGCGCAGCTCTCGTTGGCAGAAGGATGCAGGGGGCTGACGGTGGGGACACTGAGGTCTGTGCTGCTGGTGGGGCACGCTGGTCCTGACTGGAGGTGGACTGGAGCCGTCCTGGTTCTCTGGTGCATCTGCTTGTGGTGCGCATGCTGAGCCCTGTGCCCAGTGCTGCTGCCACAGGGGGCAGAAGGAGCCCCTCTGCTCTGCTCTGCTCTGCTCTGGGTGCCCACACCCTCTCTGCCAAGGGCATCTCTGCCTTTCAGGGTGTGGATGGAGCAAAAGGTCCGTCTCGTGTGCGTGTCCCCACGGGCATGGCACGTTCCTAAGGGGAACTTTGGACCTCTCCTGACAGTACCTGCGTGCTCAGCACCTGCTTGCTGCCGGGCTGCTCCTCCTCGTGCTGCTGCTCACCAAAGGTGCCACAGGGCTCCAGCTGTGACTCTGCCCAGTTTTAATACCAAAAACCCCGTGCTTCCGGGGCAGAGATGCAGCTCTGAGGGCTCCTCTGGCTCACTGCAGAGCTCAAGGAACACTTGTGATACGGGTCCTGCTCCCAGTGTGGGGGTGCTGCTGCTGCTCTCTGCTTTCAGCCCTCTGGCCTCGGGGGCCGTTCCCACAGTGCAGGGTGGGAGCTTTGCTGCTGGCAGTCGGGGCAGTCAAACTTTGACAAAGCGCAAGCGTAGAGGAAATGCCCCCATCTATGCAAGGCTTGGCAGTAAACCTGCCCTCCTGCTGCTGCCTGAACGCCCCTCGCTTGTGCTGCTGCCCATGGCTTTGCTGTCCGTTTGTTTCTGGCCCAGGTTTTCTTCCCTGCCCCCCTGCTTTGGTACAAGCAACCCTTATAGCTACATCTCCTCCCCCCGTGTTCGTTTCATGTGGCTAACGCAGACTGATGATTGTATTTTTTAATAAAGGTGTATTTTCATGACTGCGAGTCTCGTGCGCCCATTCGTTCTGCTCCCCTCTGCCCACTGCAGGGTCCTTTGCGGGCAGCCCAGGCTCAGGCGTCTTCCCGGGAGTGGCCCGGCTGCTGCCGGCTCTGTACCTTGCCCCGGTTTCCCGGAGCCCCGGGAGGAAGCTCCTTTTGTTTGCTCGGCCACAATCGCGTTTCTCTGCTTGTTCCTGCTGCGGGGAGGCGGCGGCGCTGCGGGACCCCGCGCAGGTCTGGGAGCGTCGGCTCGGGGCGGCTGCCGCTGCTGCGTGCCTCAGTTTCCCTGCCCCGAGGGAGGGCCCTGGGCCCCCGCCCCTTCGTGGGCCGGACGGGGCCGACCCCAGTGCGGGTCCTGTCCGGGAGGCAGCCCCGGTTCGGCCACTCCCGCAACTGGCGTCCCGCAAGCCGCAGGTGAGAGCCGACCCATCGCTCCTGGCCGGGGGCACCGCGCCCCAGGGGGGAGGGGGGCCGGGAGGCGGCACAACGGGACCCCGAGCCCCGGCCCTGCGGGAAGTCTCGGCGCTGCCCCGGTGCTGCGGGGGGCTCTGGCTCCAACCCACCCCTTCGACGTCGGGGCTCTCTGTGCCGCTCCCGGCTCGGAGGACGCCGCAGCCCCTGCGGGGTCCCGGTCGGCCCCGTTCTGCTCGACGGCTGCTGCCACCGCCCCCCCCCCCCCCCAGCCTCTTCGCCCCCCCCTCCCGTGAACTTTCCCCGACCCTGACGGCAGGGCTGGGTTTACAGGTGAAGCGGGTCTGAAGGTCGCGGGGAGCGCACCAGGTGAGGGCGGGGGTTGGGCGGAGCCGCGACCCCTTAGGTGTCCCCCCCAGCCCCGAGCTCAGCTCCCCCCGGCCCGGAAGGAGGGAGGAAGCGGAGGCTGAATTAATCCCAGCCCCAAGAATAGGGCCCAGGTGTTCCCGCTTCCTGCCGGCTCTGCGCTTCTCCCGGAGCTGCCCTGAAGCCTCGAAGAGGAGCGGGGTACTCAGGGCAGCCCCACCGCTCTGCCCCAGGCACCGCGCAGCCCCCAGCCATGGAAGCCACCGCCTCTCTGCTGGACGCTGCGGCCGTCGGGGATCTGGTGATGCTGGACCCGCTCAGCGAGGAAGCCCTGCTCCGCACCCTACAGGAGCGCTTCAGCCGCGAGGAGATCTACGTGGGCACCGGGATGCGGGGATGGGGAGGGGAGCGGGGACTGGGGGGGGTAAGGGGGGGGAGTGTGGGGTCTGGGATGGGGATCCGGGATGGAAATGAGGTCTGGGATGGGGATCAGGGATGGATATCGGGTCTGGGATGGGCTGGGGGCAGACTGCTGTGTCCTGGCCCCGCACTCACGCTGCCGCTCACCTGCAGACGTACATTGGGGAGGTGGTGATCTCAGTGAATCCCTACAAACCATTGCCCATCTACACCCCCGAGAAGGTGGAGGAGTACCACGACTGCAACTTCTTTGCCGTGAAACCCCACATGTGAGCACGGAGATACTGTTACCCCTCTGTCCTGCCAAGGCTCCTGAGTCCCCCCCAGGGCCCCCAAGCCCCTTGCCGAGTCCCACTTACCCACAGCTACGCCATTGCTGATGATGCGTATTGCTCGCTGCGGGACCGGGATCAGGACCAATGCATCCTCATCACTGGTGAAAGTGGAGCTGGCAAGACAGGTAGGGTGGGCTGGGAGCTGCAGGGCTGCAGGATGGGGGGTCCCAGGTCCCAAGGCTGACACCCCCATTGCAGAGGCCAGCAAGCTGGTGATGTCCTACGTGGCGGCCGTGAGCAGCAAAGGGGAGGAGGTGGACAGGGTGAAGGAGCAGCTGCTGCAGTCCAACCCTGTGCTGGAGGGTGAGTGCCGCACACACCCCAGGACTCATCACCCCCCCAAAACTGCACCACCTGGTGCTGCATAACCCCATCGTCCTCCTCCACAGCCTTTGGGAATGCCAAAACCATCCGCAACGACAATTCCTCCCGATTTGTGAGTGAGAGGGGAGGGGGCGTGGGGAGGGGACCCCTGGAGCCCACTCACCCTGACCCCATCCCCGTCCTTCAGGGCAAATACATGGATGTGGAGTTCGACTTCAAGGGAGATCCTCTGGGAGGGGTCATCAGTAACTGTCAGTGCTGCTCCCCTCCTCCCCCCGGGGTCTCAGCCCCCCCTGCGCTGCAGTGACACTCATTCCCCCCCCCCAAACCCTGACAGATCTGCTGGAGAAATCCCGCATCGTCCGCCACGTGAAGGGCGAGAGGAATTTCCACATCTTCTACCAGCTGCTGGCGGGGGGCTCAGCGCAGCTGCTCCGTACGTCCCAACATGGAGCTGGGGGGGCTGGGCAGGAGATGCCTGGTGTTGGGGACTATAGCTGAGATTCCCCCCCTCACCCCCACCCCAGAGAAGCTGAAGCTGCGCCCGGACTGCAGCCACTACGGTTACCTGAACCGTGAGAAGTCAGTGCTGCCCGGCATGGACGATGCCGCCAACTTCCGTGCCATGCAGGTATGGGGACACGACCCCCCCACACTCCCCAAGCACCCCATGGCTGCCCCCATCCCTTCCCTTCCCCCTCAGGATGCCATGGCGATCATCGGCTTCACACCCGCCGAGGTGACGGCGCTGCTGGAGGTGACGGCCGTGGTGCTCAAACTGGGCAACGTGGAGCTGAGCAGCTGCTTCCAGGCCAGCGGGATGGAGGCGTCCAGCATCACCGAGCCACAGGGTATGGTGGGGAGGGGGGGATCGGATGGGCCCCCCCCCGATCCCCGCACAGCAGCCCCAGCAGCGCTTTGTCCCACACAGAGGTACAGGAGATCAGCCAGCTGGTCGGGCTGGACCCCAGCACTCTGGAGCAGGCGCTGTGCTCACGCACTGTGAAGGTGCGGGATGAGAGCGTGCTGACTGCGCTCAGCGTCTCCCAGGTGAGCAGGGTGCCCCCCCACCCCCTCCCCTTGGGCTCGCACCCCAGGACCCCCGTGAGCCCCCCTCCCCTCTCCCCAGGGCTACTACTGCCGTGATGCGTTGGCCAAGAACATCTACAGCCGCCTGTTCGACTGGCTGGTGAACCGCATCAACACCAGCATCAGGGTGAGCCCCCCGGTCACCCCACAGCCGTGTGCTGACCCCCACCCCCCAGCAGGGAGGAGGCTCAGCCTCTCTGTGCCCCAGGTGAAGTCAGGCAAGCAGAGGAAGGTGATGGGAGTCCTGGATATCTACGGCTTCGAGATCTTCCAGGTGAGGGCAGCAGGAGGGCTGTGGAGCGGGGGTCTGCAGGAGGGATGTGGGGTGGGGTCTCCAGCACAGATCTGCCGTTCGGGTCGCTTATCTCATAGGACAACGGCTTCGAGCAGTTCATCATCAACTACTGCAATGAGAAGCTGCAGCAGATCTTCATCCTGATGACGCTGAAGGAGGAGCAGGAGGAATACGTCCGGGAGGTAACGCCGACCCCAAAGGGATGCGGCTCTGGGGAGCCTCAGTGGGATGGGGAAGCGCCTCAGACGGCCCCACAGCACGTCCCTTCCTCACCGCCCCCAACCGGGAGAGCAACTCAATGGCAGGAAGGCGGGGAGGGATTCGGGATCCCGTCTCGGCAGCCGGACGTCCGCTTCCTGCCCCGCACCGACAGGGGGTGCCCATGGGGCAGGGTTTGTGCTTGACACCCCTCTGCTCCCAGGGCATCCAGTGGACCCCAGTGGAGTTTTTTGACAACAGCATCATCTGTGACCTCATTGAGAATGTGAGTTCCTGCCCGCAGTGCGGGGCTCTCAGGTCCTGAGGTGGCTCGGGGGGCCGATGCTCTGCGCTCGGGCATTTTGGGGCAGCTTTGGGGTGGGCTGGGGGTGACGCTGTCCCCCTGTGGCACAGAGCAAGGTGGGGATCCTGGCCATGCTGGACGAGGAGTGCCTGCGGCCCGGCACCGTGAACGAGGACACCTTCATCACCAAGCTGAACCAGATCTTCGCCTCCCACAAACGCTACGAGAGCAAAGAGACACTGAACGCCAAACACGTCACCGACATCAGCCTGCCGCTGCGCTGCTTCCGCATCCACCACTATGCTGGGAAGGTGCAGGGCTCCCTCAGCCCCGTCCCTGGGGAAAAGCAGGGCACCCATCCCCACCCCATCCTTTCCGTGGGGCTGGGGCACACGCTGGCCCTGCTCCCACTCCCCTGACCCGGTCCTCATCCCAGCCTTTCTGTGGCTCTGGCCCTGCTCCCATCCCCAGGTGACCTACAACGTGACAGGCTTCATCGAGAAGAACAACGACCTGCTGTTCCGTGACCTGTCCCAGGCCATGTGGGCCGCCCAGCACACTCTGCTGCGCTCCCTCTTCCCCGAGGGCGACCCCCAGAGACCCTCCCTCAAACTGCCCCCCACCACCGGCTCCCAGTTCAAGGCATCCGTGGCGACGCTGATGAAGAACCTCTACACCAAGAACCCCAACTACATCAGGTAGCGCCAGGCGGGACCACGCGTGTGGGTGCACAGTGGGACCCCCTGTGCCCACCGCTGCCCCCCACCCCCTCCCCAGGTGCATCAAGCCCAATGACACCAAGACGGCAATGCTCTTCACTCCGGATCTGGTACTGGCCCAGGTGCGCTACCTGGGGCTGATGGAGAACGTGCGGGTACGGCGTGCAGGCTACGCCTTCCGCCAGCTCTACCAGCCCTTCCTGAAGCGCTACAAGATGCTGAGCAGCAGGACCTGGCCCCACTGGATGGGCAATGACAGGTCAGGGGGGGAAAGGAGGGCCTGGGCGGTTGCACATCCCGCAGCCCCACTGCTGTGGGGTGCAGGGTCCGAGCATCCCTGCGTGCTGCAGGGAGGGCACTGAGGTGCTGCTGGCGGAGCTGCAGTTCCCCCCCGAGGAGCTGGCATACGGCCACACCAAAATCTTCATCCGCTCACCACAAACTGTGAGTGTGGGGTTGGGGGTTCTGGCTTTGGGGGGGGGGGGCATGGGATGAGTCCTGCTCTGAGCCCCCTCAGTCCCCCTCTGAGGCTCCCATCCCCTCGGGGGTCTCTGGGTGATACCACAGCCCTCAGCTCTGCTCCACCTGCAGCTCTTCGACCTGGAGAAGCGGCGCCAGCAGCGCGTGGCCGAGTTGGCCACCCTCATCCAGGCGATGTTCCGCGGTTGGCGCTGCAGGAAGCAGTACCAGCAGATGCGCAAGAGCCAAATCCTCATCTCCGCATGGTTCCGCGGCCACGCGGTGAGGAGGGGGGTCCTGGCTGTGTTGCACCCTTCCCCATTCACCCCCTGGCCCAGGGGTGTGGGGAGTCCAAGGGTGTGACCCCCCCTGCTCCCCCTGCAGCAAAGGAACCGGTACAAGCAGATGAAGCGCTCGGTGCTGCTGCTGCAGGCGTACGCGCGGGGCTGGAAGGTGAGCACTGCGCGCCACGCGGGCGTTCGGGGCCACGCTCCGGGGCAGTGATGCAGTGCCGGGGGGCGTCCTGCTCCCCCCAGGACCATCTCACCCCATCTCCCTCCATCTCTCCTGCCTTTCTCCCTTTCTCTCCCTCTCGCTCGCTATGCGTGTTGGTGTTTCCCCCTCCTCCTTTGGGCTCTTTGGGTTCTGGCTGTCCCTCTGCAGTCCCGCCGGCTCCTTCGGGAGCTGAAGGTTCAGCGCCGCCGCCATTTGGCCGCCAGCACCATTTCTGCTTACTGGAAAGGGTATCAGGTAATGGGGTGAGCCCCGCTGCGGGGCCGCGCACCCCTGAGCTCCTCTGTTCTGCTGTCCTGCTGCGTCCGGGGCTGTCTGTCTGTCCGCCCCGGCTCTGCCCACCCTGTCAGGGCAGGGCTGTGTGGGGAGGGGGGTGGGAGACACATCCAATGGGGAACACGGAGGGCGGGGGTCCCACCCCACGGGGTCCCACATCCCGCTGACTCCCGCTGTCCCCAGACCCGCAGGACGTACCGCCGCTATTTCCGCTCCGACGCCCGCACGCGTCTGTCCAACTTCATCTACCGGCGGATGGTGAGCAGCGATGGGATCAGCGCCTCCCCGCCTCCCTGGGGCTGTGCCCAGGGACCCCGCCCACCCTTTGTGCCCCCCGCCCAGGTGCAGAAATACCTCATAGGGCTGAGGAATAACCTCCCCCCGATGGCGGTGCTGGACCGGACCTGGCCTCCTGCGCCCTATAAGTTCCTGTCCGATGCCAACCAGGAGCTGAAGGGCATCTTCTACCGCTGGAAGGTGGGGGGGGGATCTACGGGTCCCCATGGCAGCGGGGGTTTGGCGGCACTGCATCACCCGGCCCCCCCGCGCTGCCCCATCTCTGCAGTGTAAGAAGTACCGGGAGCAGCTCTCCCCACAGCAGCGCGCCGTGCTGCAGGCCAAGCTGTGCGCCAGCGAGCTGTTCAAGGACAAGAAGGCGCTGTATGCACACAGGTGCGCTCACACGTGGTGGCCGGGGGGGAAGCCTGGGGGTCTCGGCTGATCCCCCCCCTTCAATCCACAGCCTGCAGCAGCCCTTCCGTGGTGAGTACCTGGGCCTGACGCAGAACCGCAAGTACCAAAAGCTGCAGGCGGTGGCCAAGGACAAGCTGGTGATGGCCGAGGCAGTGCAGAAGGTGAACAGAGCCAACGGGAAGGTGAGCCCCGTCCCATGGGGGGTGTGGGGGGGGCGCAGGGCTGCTCTCACTGCCCCCCAACCCACAGACGGTGCCGCGGCTGCTGCTGCTCACCACTGAGCACCTGGTGCTGGCCGACCCCAAAGCAGCACAGCCCAAACTGGTGCTCAGCCTCAGCGACATCCGCGGAGCCTCCGTCAGCCGCTTCTCCGACGGGCTGCTGGCGCTGCACCTCAAGGAGGTTCGGTGCCACACGGAGGGGGTGTGGGAGGGCAGCGGGGGCTGGGCGGCGCTGACCCCTCCAAAACACCGCCCCGCCCTACAGACGTCCGCTGCTGGCGGCAAAGGTGACCTCCTGCTGGTGAGCCCCCACCTCATCGAGCTCGTCACCCGCCTGCATCAGACCCTGATGGACGCCACCGCGCAGGCGCTGCCGCTGAGCATCGCCGACCAGTATGCGGGGCGTGGCCTACGTGGGCGTTTCCGGAAGGGGCGCGGTCGGGAGGGGGCGTGGTCACAGCTCGGGGTGTGTCGGGAAGAGCGGGGTGGAATCGGGCTGCTCATTGGGCAGGATGAGGTGCGGCAGGGGGCGGGGCCGGATTGGAAGCAGCTCGTTGGGCAGCGGGAGGGGCGTGGCCAGGCGAGCCCCCAGCCCACCGCCCATCTCCCCCAGGTTCTCCACGCGGTTCCCGAAGGGCGACGTGGCCGTCACCGTGGTGGAGTCGGCCAAAGGCAGCAGCGACGTCCCGGTCTGCAAGAAGCGCGGCAGCCACAAGATGGAGATCCTGGTTCACTGAGCGGGAGGGGGGGCCGGGAGTCCACCGCACCCCCTGCACCGCACGGGAACTGCTGCCGTCCCGTGAAACGTGATCCGGCGTCCCATTAAACTGCTGCCGTCCCATTACACGTGTTCAGGTGTCCGTACGTGGGGGCTGTCGTGTGGAGGTGCCCCCCTCCCTGCCGCATACCAGGGTTGGGAGTAGGATGCGGCACAAAGCGCAGCACAGCACAGAGCCCCCCCAGCCCCCCCAAGCTCTTTCCCTGCCGCCTGATTGCAGCGAGCGCTCGGCTCTGCTGTGATTGGAAAGGCCACAAATTGCGGCCACTTTTCCCATTAAGTGAGAAAGCGGCGCCTGCATCCAAGTCGCAATTTCTGGGTGGGTGGCACTGCAGTCCCCCATTCCCTGCCCCCATCTCCACCCCTACTGCAGGACCCCCTCCTCTGCAGACCCCAGCTCTGTGCAGATCCCCACGCCACCCAAAGGGACCCCCACTGCCACTGCTGCAGAACCGGTCCTGGGAGTCCCCACGCAGCCCCCATCCCCTCCCACCTCCTTTTCTCTCCTGCTCACGTCAGGCTCTGGAAGAGGGATTTTGGCTCTAGGACTGGGATTTTTCCCTCCCTGCACGTCACCCGCGTTCTCTGGCAGAGCTGACAGCTCCCGGTCGCGTCAGCAGCTCCCAGGTGGGGCCGTGTCGTGCACGGGCACCATGTGCGGGCAGCGTGCACGTGAGGGGGGCACGTGCGTGTGCAGGGACACCTCGGGCTCCCCCCCCTCCCCGAGCCCCCCCGGGGCTGCATCCCCTCCCAGCACGGGGACCCGTCACCCATACATGGAGAGGGGCAGCGCCGTAAACAAGCCTGGGGCACTGCTGTGCTTCGTGCCTGCCTCGCACCCGGCACCACACAAGTAGGTGTTATTAATTAATTAGGCCGGCTCTGGCCAGGCTCCGATTTAATTAACATCCCCGGCTTTGCAGATGCTGCCCTGCCCCGGCGGCGCTGCCACGTGAGCAGCTGCGTTCCTGCTGCCATCCTGTGGGGTCTGCAACTCATCCCGGTGCAGCGCTGGGGCTGGGCTCCCCCCACCCACGGACCCTCAGTCTGTGCAGCTGTGGGGCAGGGATGGGTGTGTTCAGAGGGGGCTGAGCTCCACTCCGGGCCTGGGGTCACATACAGGGGGCCGGAGGGGACATGGCCACAGATGGGGCCACACCTGGGAGCGCTCTTGTGGGCTGCACAGGACTGGGACGGGGCAGGAGGCACGGGGTCTACGAGGTCTGATGCGTGCATCCCATTCAGGCGTGCATCCCATACACACACACAAGCTCAGCTGATTCCCACAGCACCGCGAACCCCCCCACAGCCCTCCTGCACGGCAGACCTGACCACCGGTGTGGCACAGCCGAGACGCAGGCAGCTCATGCTGCACACACACACCACGAGGCCGTGGCACCACCGGGCGTGCATCAACCCCTGCACGGGGTGCAGCGGTGTCCGCGTGCCACCCCAACCCCTGCATGCCTGCGTGGGCCGCGTGCTGCGGTGCCTGGCGGTGTCACGGCGCCCGCGTGGGCGTGAAGTTGTGGGGTGGGGGTGCCACCCCCCGCGGCCCCCATTGGCGGCTCTCATTTCGCCCACCCACGCCATGCCACGGGCAGAGCCCCTTATTTAACTCCGCAGCAGCGGTGGGGCTTCATCTCCATCGGGCTGAGAGCCATCGGTGCAGCCACCAGCGAGGTCACAGCTGGCGCTGAGCAGCCTGCACTGCATCCCTGCACCCCTCACCGCATCCCTGCACCAGGTACCTCGAGGCCTCTGGAGCGACCACCGCCTTTGCTCCTCACCCTACGCAGCCTGGGGGGGCTCAGGGAAGGGGGCAGCAAGGACTGAAGGCGCTGCTGGGATGTGGGGAGGGCTGGGGGCTCTGGGCACGGGGCTGGCCATCAGTGTGCATGCAGCTGTGCGGGTATCAGTGACACCGTGGGGGTGTGAGCGTGCATGGCTAACCTGTCTGTGGTCCCCCCAGGCTTTCCCCGTGCCCCTCCCCTCCCCCCGGCCCACCCCTGTTGCGGTTCCTACTCCTCCTGCAGCCGGGTGGGAGCCCCCAGCCCGTGCCTCCTGGGTGGGGATTTGCTCCCAAAGCCGCTCGCTGCTCCCTGCCTAAGTTCTGCTCCGGGTCCGATACAGACGCTCACGCCCCCCGACCCACAATCCCCGTAGGACGATGCGGAGCCGCGCGCTGCTGGCCGTGCTCGCCCTGGCGCTGCCGCTCGCCCTCTCCGCCCCGCCGGGCTCCGCGCCGCGCTCCCAGGTACGGCCGCACCGTCGGGGCTCGGGGGTGGCACCGCGCGGCTCCGCTCACCGCTCCGCTTCCCGCAGAGGGGTCCCGGCCCGGAGCCGCTGCTCTGGAGATCCCGGGGCAGCTCGGGGGCCGCCGTCGCCGCTCTTCTGCAGCTACTGCGGGAGGAGGAGAACGGTGAGAGCGGGGCGGGGTGGGGCGGGATGCGGGGGGCCGGGAGGAGTTGGGGGGTCCCTCCCGGTCCCCGTGCGCGCCCCGACGGCAGCGCTCAGCATCCGTTTCTGTCTCCCGCAGGTCCCCCGGCGCCCGCGCCTCCTCAGAAGCGTAAGTGCTGCCCGCCTCGCACCGCGCCCGGCCCCGCAGCGGAACCGAGGCGGGGCCCAGCGGAGAGCACAGCGCGGAGGGGGCCGGGCCGGGCCGGGCGGGCGCTGACGGCGCTCTCTCCGCAGGAGACATGCACGACTTCTTCGTGGGGCTCATGGGGAAACGGGCGGCAGAACCCGGGAGGGCGGCGGGGGGCAGCGGGAGCGCGGCCGGGACTGGACACGCTGAGCGCGGCCCCTCCGCCCGCTGCTCCCCAGGACCCCCCCCGGACGGCCCTCGGGTTGCCGGTCCCCCCCGCCCCGCGCCGTGAGGAGCGGCCTCGACGGGCGGACAGGACGCGGCGGAGCCTTCGCGGGAGCCCCGGGGCCGCGCCGAGAGCGGAACGCGAGTGTCCGAACCGCGCTGTACGCGCACCGCACGCATACAGCACTGCACAACCCGGAGCCGCGCCCGCCTCTGTGTGTCTGCGCCGGGGTGGGAGGTGGAGGGGGTGAGAAGGGGAGGAGCGCGCCGCTTATCGTGACCCTCCCCGTATCGCGACCCGGACCGCCCCGCGTTCCCCCCCGCAGTTCCCCTCCGGGCCGCTGCGGCGCTGTGGCCCCGTCGGAGCGGGCGGGCGGCGGAAGGCGGCTCCGGTGGCGGCGGGCGCTCGGAGCGGCGGGCGGAGGGCGGAGGGCGGGGCGGTGCCTTTGTGTGAGCGAGCGGGGATGGTGCGGGGCGCCGGGCGGGTAAGGAGCGGCCGCGGCGGGACGGGACCGACGGCGGCGCCCCCAAGGGTCCCCCCCGGCCCCGACCCCGCGAGGATCGCGGCGGCGCGGCCGTTCTCACGTCCCGGGGCCGTCGGGGCCCGTTGGGGGCGGCCCCCCCCCCCCCCTCCGCAGAGCCGCGGTTTGTTGGGGGGAGGGGGGTGGGGGGAGGTACATTTCCTGACCGCGAGATGCGGACCTCGCTACGAGACCCGCGGGAGGAGAGGGGGACGCGGACCGAGGGTGGGGGGTGGGGTGGTTGGGGCCGCCCCCAAGAGCATCCCACGGCCCGCGCTCCCCCCTCAAGACCGGCGGCCCCGGGCACGTTTCGTCAGAAGGAGCCTCCGCGGAGCGAGCTGAGAGCAACTTTCATTGCAGGACGGAGTTTGGGAGGCGGTTGGGTGGCTTCCATTGAGCCCTCCAAGGCGGGGGGGCTGCGGGGGCCTGGGGGGGACGATAGGGAGCTGGGAGGGGGAGTGGGGCTGGAAGCAGTGGGGCTGCAGGCTGTGCCTCAGCACTGTGCTGTGCAGCCCCCCAGGCTCTGCTGGGAGTCGGGGCCAGATCGTGCCCAGGCAGAGGTGATGGGGGCTGCGGGGGGGAGCATGGATGGGTCCTGATGCAGACAGGAGCGCTCCTGGGGTGGCTGCAGAAACAACCTTGGCCTCAAGATGAGCGGTGAGGGCATCTGTGGGGCAACGCTGTTCCTCCTTGCTCTGCCCAGCTCCGTCTGAGAGCTGTGCCTGTGGCTGTCCCACGGGTGGAGCGTTGGAGTGATGTCTCCTCGTTGAGGTTTTAACTTTTCTTCATGTTCCCCCCCAGAGCCCCTTGCCCTGCCACTTGCTGGATGCCGGGCAGCACCTGCTGCCCCCGCAGCTGATGAGGGCGTGAAGGAGCAGCTGAGCAGGAGAGGCCCCCCCAGCTGCTAAGATGGGCATGAGGATCAAACTGCACAGCACCAACCACCCCAACAACCTGCTGAAGGAGCTCAACAAGTGCCGCCTCTCCGAGACCATGTGCGACGTCACCATCCTGGTGGGCTCGCGCTCCTTCGCCGCGCACAAAGCCGTGCTGGCCTGCGCTGCTGGATACTTCCAGAACCTCTTCCTGAACACGGGGCTGGACGCCGCGCGCACCTACGTGGTGGACTTCATCACGCCGGCCAACTTTGAGAAGATCCTCAGCTTCGTGTACACCTCGGAGCTCTTCACCGATCTCATCAATGTGGGTGTTATCTACGAGGTGGCGGAGCGGCTGGGCATGGAGGACCTGCTGCGTGCCTGCCACTCCACCTTCCCCGACCTGGAGAGCGCGGCCATCCCCAAGCAGCCCCCCCTGGCCTCGGGGGACCCCCGACCAGGTGCTGTGGGCTGTGCCTCGGAGCAGAGCCCGGCGCTGGGGGACGCCCGGGGGAGCGCAGAGCACTTTGGTGCGGAGCGGGGTTACGTGCTGCATGGGGAGGGAGCGGGCAGCTACAAGGAGGAGGAGAGGAGCGACGGCGGCCAGGCTGTGCCCCTGCTGCAGCCCCCGCTGCCCCCCAAGGACGCGGAGCCGGGGCCGTTCGGTCCTGGTGCTGTCGCAGCAGTGCAGCCTGGGCTGGGAGCTGGGAGCGTCATGCAGAGCTCCGCAGGCTCCTGTCAGCAGTACAAGGTGCAGAGCAACGGCGACTACGGCAAAGGTGGGTTCTTCACGGCTGATTCATCCCTGGACATCTCCACGGGGAGCAACTCGTGTCCCAGCAACAGCGAGCACTGCAAGGAGCCGGGCTTCGTGCCGATGGACGAGCTGCAGCTGGAGGAGCTGGGCGAGGACGAGCTGCACTTCGAGGATGCCAGCGAGGAGCTGGGGCCGTCGGAAGAGGTGATCGAGCTGAGCGATGACAGCGAGGAGGAGCTGGCTTTCGAGAGCGACGGGCGCGACAGCAGAGCCATGCCCTGCCAGGTCTGCAAGAAAGTGCTGGAGCCCAACATCCAGCTGATCCGGCAGCACGCCCGCGACCACGTGGACCTGCTCACCGGGAACTGCAAGGTGTGCGAGACCCACTTCCAGGACCGCAACTCCAGGGTGACCCACGTGCTGTCCCACATCGGCATCTTCCTCTTCTCCTGCGACATGTGTGAGACCAAGTTCTTCACGCAGTGGCAGCTCACCCTGCACCGCAGGGACGGCGTCTTCGACAACAACGTGGTCGTGCATCCCAGCGACCCTCTGCCTGGCAAGGCGGGCGCCTTCGCCGCGGGGTCGGGTGCAGATCTGGCGTGCGCCGCGTGCGGGAAACCTTTGGCCAAAGATTTCCAGACCGTCCGCAACCACCTCCTGGACCACGTCAACCTGAAGAGCCAGACGTGCGGCGTGTGCGACCAGCGGCATCTGAGCCTGTGCAGCCTGCTGTGGCACGCGCTGGCACACCTGGGCATCGCCGTGTTCTCCTGCGCCGTGTGCGCCAGCAGCTTCGTGGACCGGCAGCTGCTGGAGAAGCACCTGGCCGTGCACCAGAGCGCCGAGGAGGCCCTGTTCCGCTGCCACTTCTGCGGGCAGAGCTTCAAGCTGGAGGCGGCGTATCGCTACCACGTCAGCCAGCACAAGTGTGGCAGCGCTGTGGATGCCCGTCCCGGCTTCGGCGAGCGGCTGCAGCCGCAGAGCTTGCAGAAGAGGAAGCTGCCCGAGGAGTTCCTGAGCGAGGAGCTGGCGCTGCAGAGCCAGCCGGGCAACAGCAAGTACAGCTGCAAGGTGTGCGGGAAGCGCTTCGCCCACACCAGTGAGTTCAACTACCACCGGCGCATCCACACCGGGGAGAAGCCGTACCAGTGCAAGGTCTGCCACAAGTTCTTCCGCGGCCGCTCCACCATCAAGTGCCACCTGCGGACGCATTCGGGGGCCCTGATGTACCGCTGCACCGTCTGCGGCCACTACAGCTCCACGCTCAACCTGATGAGCAAGCACATCGGGGTGCACAAGGGCAGCCTGCCCCCCGACTTCACCATCGAGCAGACTTTCATGTACATTATCCATTCCAAAGACGCGGAGAAGAACGCGGACAGCTGATGGGGTGAGGCAGGGCAGGGCTGGGAGGCGCCGCAGAAAAGCGTCGTTGGTTTTATTTAACGGTCAGGCGTCGTGGATGGATTCCTCCTTTTTCTTTTTCTTTTTCCTTCTTTTTTATTTCTTGGCCTTGCTAGGCTTTTTAGAGTGTACGAACCAACAGCACGTGAGCTACGTCACCGTTCCCGAGAAGTCTGTCGTGTTTACTTACCTCTGATCCCATTAGAGGCCACCGAGTTTTGTGTTCTTAGCGTTTCTCACTAGGTTCTGAATCTAGATTTTGTTCTGAAACCTCTTCGCCCACTGACTCGGCCGACCCACAGTCAGAGCTGACCCACAAACCGATGCTGCTACGACTTTCTGACCTCAGCAGAGAGGGGCAGAGCTGGAGCGGGGCAGCGCCGGGCGGGAAGGAGAAGGGAAGCAGAAAGGAAGGAAGGAAGGACTGACGGTTCCAGGCACGGCGCGGCTTTGGGCGCAGCTCGGGGGTCGCAGCGCTGCGTCGCCAGCGGTGTTTACACCGGGAAGGACGGGGCCGCCCCATTCCCACATATCCCGCTGTGGGGCAGAGACGAAGAGGAACAAATGTCCCAGACACCGCAGCGCGAATCGGGGCCGCCCTGCAGTAACTCTACTACCTCACAAACAGGAAGCGCCTTCGGGCCGCCGCGGGTCGCACTTCTGCACAGAGAACACTGATAACGGAGCGGACCGAGCGGCCCGGCGCCGCGAGCTGGGAACTCGGGGGTGCTCCCCCCCGCTCTGCTGTGACCTTGGGCAAGTCACTTCACCTCTTTGCCTCAGTTTCCTCATCTGTAAAATGAGGGTGGTGACCCTCGTGGTGCCGACCTACCTCTCTGGAGCGTGCTGAAGAGCACCGGCTCGCGCCGCGCCGTTACCAGAGCGTGGAGGGGATGCGTCCCCGTCCCCCCATCCCACCACTCCGTCGCTTTGCTCCCATTGTGGCCGTCCTGCTGACAGTAGATCCTCCAGTCCCGTCCCGGTGCTGCTGAAGGAGCCGGTGGTGATGCACGCAGTGCTGCTCCCTGCAGGACTCCCCGACTGCTGGGATGGATTTTGGGGGGGACCGCCTCATCCCCAAAGCCTCGAGGCCCCCCGGAGCTGCGGGCGCCCCGCGTCCGGCCAAGCTGTGAAGCAAAAGCCTTTTGTGCACATAAACCAAAAAGAGAAGTTTTACACTGAAATGCTATGGGGCAGAGCAACTCCAGCCCCCACCCCACCACTGAGCGTGGGGACAGAGCCCTCCCTGCTGGCTGCTGTGGGGAAGGGGGCGCTGCGGAGCACTCTCTCACCCCCACTGTCTCTGTGTTGAATCCTTCCCTGTGAATTGTTCCATGTGGAAACGCGATGGGAGTGAGCTCTGCTCTGCTCTGCTCTGCTCTGCTCTGCTCTGCTCTGCTCCCCCAGTGGCACTGGTTCTGGGGAGGGCAGCCCCATGTGCCACCCCCCCACAGCGCACCCCGAAGGACCCCCATCAAGGAACAAAGCAGAAAGAAGAGCGGAACGCGTTGCTGTCTAACCTCCTCATTAAGTTAACCGTAGGTACTGACCTCCTGATATTTAAGTGTTTACTATCTATTTGCTGTAAAGTTTTGTATATTTTGTAAACTTCCTCCCCCCCGCCCCCCTCCAGATCGTAGATGTCTAAAATCGTTGTACATCAGGTTCTTTTATACTCCATTGTTCAGCACAAAGTGTGGTTTTTTATTTAGAATAATAAAAGCGGAAAACGTTGACCTCTCGTGCTGCATTTCTTTATTAAAAAGATTATTTGTGAGACAGGAGTGGGAGCCGGGGGGCAGCTCAGCACAGGGGGTGGCTCTGGGGGGGCACAGATGTGTTGGATTTCCCCACAGTGGGTTGAATCAGTGAAATGTAGCAACACGCATGCGTGTGGAGTTGGAATACGCTGCTGCATGGCTGTGTCACGCGCCTGCTGGCTTTGCTGTTGCGTGCTCAACTTCGTTCCTGCAATGAAAATGAGTTGGGGGACTGCTCCAGCCCTGGGCTGCAATGGGAGAGCAGTGGGTGCAGCAGAGGGGCTGGGGGGGGAGCTGCTCCTGCTGCTCTGCCAGGGGTTCGGTGCAGCCCCGGTGCCAGGTCTCCCCGGCACATCCTGCCCTGTGCTCCACGGGGCAGTGAGCATCCTGTCCCTGGATCCGGTCCGATTTGCTTATGCTTCACTTTCTTAGGCAGCTCAAGGCCTTCAGATGGATGAATTCCCTCCGGTGGCACTTTCACCTTCCCCTGCCCAGGGCCCAACCCACGCACAGTGTGACTGAGCAGAATTGCAGCCAGGAGAGACTTTGGATGCTTCGACTTCTTGCCCGTGGGGTCCCGTGCTGCTGAATGCAGATGGGACCCCCAGCTCTCACCCCAGAGATGACTTAAGGATGAAGACAGCCGCTCTGGGTCTGAGATGTTGCGCTGTAAAGCCGTGCTGAGCCGTTCCTCCCTGCAGCAGTCCGACGCTGTGCTGTGTCAGCGCCCTGCACCGCAGCGCCTTCATTTGAGCCGTGCCAGGCTCTGCACTGGTGCTGCAGCGGGAGCTGTGTTAAAGCAGCGGATTTTGCCCCATCCTGATCAAATGGCATCGGAGTGAGAGGGCAGCGCTCACCCCTCAGTGGGGTTCAGGTGTGAGCTGAGGGCTGCAGAGCGCGTGGGGCTGCGTGGGGTCAGGGCGCACCGAGCGTCGCGTCCATCGCTACAAGCATGTCTCTAGGAAAGCGGAACATCTCTCTGTCTCTTGTTCTTACTTTGGCTAAATGGGTCTGATAGTGCTCAGAGGCGACACGGCCACGACTCCCGTTGGGCACATTGCCCTCACCTGCAGAGCGCGACGGGCGGCTGGCCAGAAAGCAGAACGCCACTGGAAGCCTGCCGTGGGGAGCTGCCCGGCCCCGCGCCAACCTCAGGTGGGCGCCCCGCCGCCTTTAGCTGGGTGCAGCGCCATCCTTGGCGATGATGACGGAGTGCTGCGTGGAGGAGGAGGAGCCCTCTGCGCCCTTCTGCCCGGCCGCATCCTTGGGAACGTACCTGACCACGGCCGAGATGAGTTTGCTGCGGAAGCTCTTGCTGAGGAAGTTGTAGAGGACGGGGTTGAGGACGCAGTGCAGCAGCGTGAGGCAGTCGATGATGTCGTAGAAGAAGTAGAGGAAGTGGGCAAAGGAGCAGTGCAGGACGATGTGGGTGCCGTCGAGGGTGAGCAGCGTGAGCAGGACGTGGAAAGGCAGCCAGCTGAGCAGGAACGCCACGATGTAGGTATAGATGAGCAGGCAGTGCCTCCCCCCCTCCGGCTTGGAGCGCCGGACCAGCCGCGCCGTCAGCACATTGAACACTGCGATGATGGGGAAGGGGATGAGGAACCCCACAGCGGTGGTGGCCAGGCTGACCGCCAGCGCCCACTCATCATAGGTCTCAAAGGGAGCCATGAAGATGCAGATGGGGTCCCCGGTGTTCACCAGCTGCATGTGGGACACCTCCACGAAGGGGATGGCTGCTGCCAGGACCCAGACGCAGGCGCAGACGACGCGGCGCACGCGGTGCTGGTGCCGATGCCAGAAGGGCGAGGAGCCGCGCAGCGAGACGTAGCGGTCCACGCTCAGGCAGGTGAGGAGGAAGATGCTGGCGTACATGTTGGCAAAGTAGAAGTAATGCGTGAAGCGGCAGAGGAAGCTGCCCCAGAGCCAGGTGTAGTCCAGCATCACCTCCAGCATCCAGACGGGCAGCGAGAGCAGCACGCCCAGGTCGGCGATGGCCATGTGCAGCACGTAGAGGCTCACCAGGCTCCGGCCGCCGCGTGTCTGCCAGTTCACCCAGACCACCAGCAGGTTTTCCACCAGCCCCACCACGAAGATGGCGAGGTAGAGCACGAACACGGCCACGCGCTTGGCGTTCTCATCCAGGCTGAACTCGCAGGCGCTGTAGCTGTAGTTGAGGAGGTGGAGCAGCTCCGACAGGTTGTGGTACTCGCCGTACTCGCTGGGGGCGGTGGGCGTCTCGCTGGGGGCTGCCGTCGCCTCGGCCATGCTGGGAGCTGCAGGGAAATGGAAAGCGATGAACCGCGGTGCTGGGAGCCCCCCCGGGTGATAAGCCTTGGTGGTTGTCACACCTCCCTGCGGCTTTCTGCCTAACCCTAATGATGGCCAATTGCAGCGCCGGGGCGTGGGACGCAGATCCAGCTGGGGGCGTCGAGCTGCTCACCGGGTTCTGGTTTACATCCCTCTGCCTTTTTGCCCTGAGGGATGTCACCGAGACCCCTCAGACCCCTCCAGAAGCAGCAGTTCTTATTTATGAGGGGAGAGGCTGCGGGGCGCAGCCTTCATTTGCCACGGGAAAAGATCAAAATGAATCGAGCAGAAAATCTGAGCAGCACAGCTGGGAAACAGGTGAAAACCGGCGGGTCTCTGCTGGCACAGCTCAGCTCTCTGAGCTTCTGAGGCCCTTTTTAATCCTACGGGATTTTCTTCCACCGTGCCAATTCCTACATCATCCCTTTAAAAGACCCTCAGCGGATCCCAGAGCGGATCCCAGCACGGCCCCAGCCCCGCGCGCACGAGGGACCCGACCCCGGGGCTGCCGACGGAACGGCCGCAACGCACAGCACCGCACAGCACCGCAGCCCCCCGCAGCCCCCCGCAGCTGTGCCCAAAGCCCCGGGGCTGCGCTGCGCTCTCCGCCCGCAGTGGCGGTGGGATCTCGGGGCGCGCGGACGCGGCTCACCGGGGGTGCGCGATGCGATCCTCGCGGCGTGGCTGCGGGAGCTGCTCTGGGCTTGCGGGGCTGCGCTCCGGGCTCCCACCCTGCAGGAAATGAGCGCGGCAGCCCCGTATCCTGAGGCGGCCCCGGGACGCGGTGTGTGCCCGAGGGCGGTGCGTTAAGGCAAGGGGGGGGGACAAGGACAGGTGCTGCCCTCAGTGCCGGAGGGTCCGCAGCGCATCCATCCCCGCCCCATGAGGGATGTGGGGCACGGAGCCGCGGGCGGAGCGTGGCCGGGTGCGGGTGGGGGGAAAGGATCCCCGGAGCTGTGAGTCCGTGGGTTGGGGTGGGCTGGGGAGCGCGCTGTGCCCGTCCCTGCGGCCATGCGCGGGGACCCTCGGTTCTTTGTTGCGGAAAGATGACAAAAGCAGCACAGTGCGGTGCTGCGCGGCTCGGCACGGCACGGCGCAGTCCAGCACGGCACAGCGTGGCACAGAGCGGCATCGGCACGGTGCAGCGTGGCACAGCACGGCACTGAGGGGTCGGGGCATCGCAACCCCCTGGTGCTGTCTCAGCGGTCGGAATGCAGCGCACGTCCATCCCCACAGCAGCTCCTGTGCGCGGCAGCAATTAATCAGCGGACACCAGCGGGGCAGCGCGCAGGGGAAGCGAGGGGGCTCAGCCTTGCCCCGCGTTGGGGAGGGGGCTGATAGGCAGAACGTTTTTGCCTCGGGCTGCAAGTCCTGCAGAACAATTGCAGGAAATCTCCTTTACAAGTGCAGACAAGGCATCGAGACCAACAATCGCTCGGAAGGAAGGCACGGAGGGAACAGGGAAGCGCGTGCACTGATAAGTGGGCGCTGTCTCAACAACGGGCGGGCGGCCAAAGAGCAAACAGGTACCGGCCCACGGGATTCGCTGTTTGCGAACAGGAACGGGCGCTGCTTTGCCCCACGCCGAGGACGCCACGGGTTGGCATCGTCCTCCTGAAAGCGGTGCACGCGGTCCGGCTGGGGCGGATGCGCTGCGTGCTGGAAGCTCCCGGCGTTGGCGTTTTGCTTCTCGGGGGCTCAGGGAAGGAGCAGCGCGGAGCTCCGTTGGTGGTGGCACAGCAGAAGGGCTGCGCGGTGTGGGTGACCCCACCTGGGACCTGGAGGGGGGGTGGCTCCGCCGAACTCCTCTGAGCTCTGCTCTTCACAGAATTGGCACAGAATTGGGTGCTCAGGGGGCACCGCAACGAACGCATCGCCCCAGCGCGCTGAGCGCCCCCGCCCCATCCCCCCCCTTTTCCCCAGGGCCCCATTTGTTTGGAGATTGATGGGATAAGGGGCCCCTTCCTCTCCGGAAGGGCCGTGCTCAGAGGCCCCGGGTTGGGGTGGAGGGGCCCCAGGGAGCTCAGCGTTGGGGAGGGTGGGGTTGGAGGCAGAGAGGCAAAACCCCACGGGAGCTTCTACCCCAAGGAGCTGAATCCGCATCCACCATTCCCCCGGCTTCTGCTGTTGGCAGCGCTGCTCCGAGTCCAATGCCCTCCCCACGCAGCCCCCCTCCCGCACTCTGCAGCCCACCCCAGGGACAAGCAGGGACAACGATGCTGTGCCGGCTGCTGGGATGCTGCACCCATCAAACCTACAGGAACTCTCTGCTTCGCACGAGGGCTCCTCGCACCCCGCACCCCGCACTCCGCATCGCCCCGCATCGCCCCGCATCACCCTGGTCCCGCACGAACTCAGCCCCCGCACGTGTCAGCGGAAGAAGGGACGCGGGTGGGCGGCGTGGGTGGCTCCTCAGTCCTGCAAGCAATAGCACGGCCTCGGGGGCCCATCTCCAAATCGTCATCGCTAATTATCCCTTAATTAGAGGTATGAAGGATGCATGAGTCACCGCCCACACATCTGATGTGCCGAACCACAGCAGCACCCATCGCTGCCAGCGGACTCCGAGGGCGCAGGAGGGGGACAAATGGAGCTGTGCAGAGGGATCCTGGGGAGGGGTCTTTCCTCTCCTGCGCTGAAGGTGCAGCGGAGGATGGACCTGATTGCAGCCCCCTGCAGCTGCGGGAGGTGGGAGCTGGGCAAAAAGCACCCAACTCCCGAGGATGGCAAACTGGGGGCGGGAAGGATGATGCTGCTTTAGGAGTGAGCTGCAGGAGGGGCTCTGGCACGGCTGGGGCAACGCAGTGGGGCTTTGTGCCCCTCTGCCCGTAGCCCCAGTGCGGGGCGAGCTGTGAGCTCAGAGGGCACGAGGGCTGCTGCTGTAGAAGGGAAAAACGCATTTAATGAGGTCCTGCACCCGCAGGAGCCCCGCGTGCAGCACGGAGCGGGCACAGGGATGCGCTCAGGGTGTCCCGCAGTCCGGTTTTGGCATCAGGAAGGCGACGAAGGCATCGCAGAGCCACGTCGGGCAGTAGCTGAGAGGCAGCAGGAAGAGCAGCGCGTCCCAGCCGGCTGCGTAACGGCTGCGGGGGCTGCGGGACAGCAGCGCGTGCTGCACGCGGGCGGTGACGCGGGACAGGCGGGGGCTGCTGAGGCGGTGCAGGAGGGCGCTGCGACGGGCGTCTGTAGGGCGGGGAGGGAGGGGGTCAGCGGGGCGGAGGGATCCGCGGGGTGGCTGCAGTGCTGTGAGGAGGTGGGGGGAGGCACTAACAGGTCTCGAGGTAGCGGCGGCCGTAGGATGCCCGGGTCTCTGCCGGCAGCTGCGCCCAGAGGCGATGCAGTTCCTTTGCTGCCGCTTTGGGGTCGGTCATCCCCGTTCGGAATCCACCGGGTTCAATGATAGAGACCTTCATCCCAAAGGGTCGCATCTCACGCCTGGATGGGGATGAGGACATCGATGTCATTGCCCCAGGACAGGACCCAGCACTGCCACCGCAGAGAAGGTGCTGCTCCAACCCTTTCCATCTTTGCACAACCGCTGGCTCCCACCCACCTAATTCACAACCCAAACAGACACCTTTCACAATCCCTCCCCACCTCTCCGTGCCTTTCCCTGCTATTGGGACAGGAGTGGCCGGGGAGGAATGGTGAAAGCAGGGCAGAGGCAAAACAGCGCTGCTCCACGGCTGCCAAACCCCAAGAAGGACAAAGGCCGGGCTGTGCTGAACCTGAGGCTGTTGGAGAAGGCTTCCACACCGAACTTGGAGGGGCGGCGCCCCCCAAAGCCGGAGAGCCGGCGCATTAGGAGTGGGCTGTGTATCTGTGCCCCCCACTGTGCCTCACTCCGGGCCACAGTGGGGAACCCAACCACACGGTGCACCCCAGGCAGTCCAGCGTGGGGCTGAGGTGGCGCACGAGCAAACATTGACCTCAGTGGGACGGCGTGGGGTCAGAGCAAACTTTGGAGCCGTTCCACGGGACGCACAGCGGGGCAAAGACTGAGCAGCGAGGTGCCCTGCCTGACGCCAGCACCCCAGTGCTGCCAGGCAGAGCCTGGGGAGCTGCGGCTGTTTGGGGAGCACGGGACTCACCTGAGGCTGTCGGAAAAGGCCTCCACACCGAACTTGGAGGGGCAGTAGCCCCCCCCAAAGCCGGAGAGCCGGCCCATCATGCTGGACACGTTGACCACGCGGCCGCGCGCCCGCCTCAGCAGCGGCAGCATGCTGACTGTCACCTCGATCAGCCCCACCAGGTTGACGTTCAGCACCGCCATGAAGTCTTCCTTCCTCAGCCACTCGTTGGGGGCGGTGGGGTTGGCAGTGCCGGCGTTGTTCACCAACCCCCACAGCCCTGCGATAGGGACGGGGTGAGTCGCGACCCCCACCGTGCCCCCTCCCGGCCCGGCCCCCTCCTACCTTTCTGCCCCACGCGCTCCTGCACCCACGCGGCGGCGGCGGCGATGCTGCTGCTGGAGGTGACGTCCAGCAGGACGGTCTGCAGGCGCGAGGAGGCAGCCGCCCGCAGCCGTGCGGCCCCCGACTCCGTCAGGCAGCCCGCCAGCACCTGCAGCCCCCGCGCGTCCAGCTGCCGGGCCAGCAGGTTGCCAAAGCCCGAATCGCAGCCCGTGATCAGCACAAACTTCTCCTCCAGGCCGGGCACCGTCTGCCGCTCACGGTGCCATCGCCGCAGCAGCCACAGCCCCAGCAGCGCCAGCAGCCACAGCCACATCCTGACCGGGGGGAAGAGGGGCTGAGTGGGGGTTTCCTGCAAGCACCTGCGGGTCGGCGTCATCCTGGCTCCTGGCTGTGCCCCTGCAGCTGTCTCTCTGCTGCCCCAAGCACGCCACGCTGGGGGCTGTTCCCTGGATTTGGGGTCTTTGGCTCTCAGATGTCCTTGCGCTTCCCTATCGGCTGCCACCCCAATGGAACCCATTGCAGCTGGTGCTCGGGGTGGGTGCTGGTCTGTGGCTCTTGGCCCTACCTGCCCCCACCGCCCTCCCACCGCACACCGCGCTCGGTTTCCGTTCCTTTAACGCACCTGTGAGGTTTCCCTTCATCGTGAGGAAGACGCACTGAGGACTCGGTTCAGTGCAGCCTCACCACGCTCCCCTGGAGCACAGCATCACAGTGGGGCTTCAGAGCAGCACCCAGCGCCCCACAGAGCTCCCACCCTGCTGGGACACCCCCAGTCCAGCCTTGCCTGACTCCTCCTGCACATCTCCCTGCGCTGTGCCCATCCCGGAGGAGCTGCACCTGCAAACCCCGCAGCGCAAACCCCGGGGTTACCTGGGCAGGTCTGCACCGCTCCACAAGTCCTCGCACAGCCCGCGTCCCCGCGTATAAATAGAGCTCAGCGCAGAGCAGCAGCGCCACGCAGCACGGGGCAGCAGCGGGGGCAGCGGTGCCCGAATTGCTGCAGGCAGTGCTGCAGGGTGGGCAGGATTGCACCAGCGCTGGAATAAACCTCGAGTTCCCTGATCCGCGCTGCCTCGTGTTGCGCAGAGCCATTCCGGGAGCGCTGCCGCAGCTCTGCAACAGCCGCTCGTGCTGATGGAGCGCGACCCGAGGCCGTGCACGGCACTGCAGGGCTGACCGCACCGCACCATCCACATAGGAAGCGCGTGAGGATGCAGCCATGCCGGGATGAGAGCAGAGCAGCGCCGCTGGGGCTGAGCTCCCGCTCTGCACTGTGCCACTGGGGTGGCCGCCCGCTCGCCAGCAGCTCCTGGGTGTCCCCAGCTCCAGGGTAGGGCAAAGCGGGCACGGGCTGTGCGGGGCAGGGGCTTGGCAGCACTGCGCCAACTGCTCCCCCATGGGCACAGCCTCAGTGTGCTGCCGAGGGAAGGAGCTCGGCTCAATCACACCATACAGGGGGGAGGAGGTCATCTTTATTCAGCAGCAGTTTGCCAGCCGTGGCGGTGCTGAGCGGTGCGTGCCGATGTGGGACGTCAGCTGTGGGGCGATGCCAGCTCTGCCCACACTGCCTCACCCTCTCTGGGCAGGTTTAGGGTAGAACTGGGTGAAGAAGGCATCAAAGATGGCGGAGGGCATGTAGCTGAGCGGGATGAAGAACAGCCTGGCATCCCAGCCAACGGCGTAGCGGCAGCGCGGGTAGCGGCTGGTCAGCGCGTGCTCCATGCAGTTCGTCACCAGCGACAGGTTGGGGTTGCAGCTCCTGTTTGCCACCTGCATGCTTGCCAGGTCTGGGGGCAGAGGGAGGGGGCAGGCGCTTACCTCATGCCCAGGAGGCCCGCTGGGTCCTGGCGCAGCGCAGCACTGCGGTGCCAGATGGGCTCTGGGGATGCACTCACAGTCCTGCCAGTATTTGTCCCCGTAACTCGCTTTGGTTTCATCGGGCAGCCTCTCCCAGAATTTGAGGAAGTTCTTCTCCACGCTGGCAGAGTGGGTGATACCCGTCTTGAAGAAGCCCGGCTCGATGACGCTCACCTTCACCCCGAAGTGATGCATCTCAAGCCTGGAAAGCAGCGATGCCATGGGATGGGAGCAGCAGTGCAGTGTGGGCTGTGTATCTGTGCCCCCCACTGTGCCTCACTCCGGGCCACAGTGGGGAACCCAACCACACGGTGCACCCCAGGCAGTCCAGCGTGGGGCTGAGGTGGCGCACGAGCAAACATTGACCTCAGTGGGACGGCGTGGGGTCAGAGCAAACTTTGGAGCCGTTCCACGGGACGCACAGCGGGGCAAAGACTGAGCAGCGAGGTGCCCTGCCTGACGCCAGCACCCCAGTGCTGCCAGGCAGAGCCTGGGGAGCTGCGGCTGTTTGGGGAGCACGGGACTCACCTGAGGCTGTCGGAAAAGGCCTCCACACCGAACTTGGAGGGGCAGTAGCCCCCCCCAAAGCCGGAGAGCCGGCCCACCATGCTGGACACGTTGACCACGCGGCCGCGCGCCCGCCTCAGCAGCGGCAGCATGCTGACTGTCACCTCGATCAGCCCCACCAGGTTGACGTTCAGCACCGCCATGAAGTCTTCCTTCCTCAGCCACTCGTTGGGGGCGGTGGGGTTGGCAGTGCCGGCGTTGTTCACCAACCCCCACAGCCCTGCGATAGGGACGGGGTGAGTCGCGACCCCCACCGTGCCCCCTCCTGGCCTGGCCCCCTCCTACCTTTCTGCCCCACGCGCTCCTGCACCCACGCGGCGGCGGCGGCGATGCTGCTGCTGGAGGTGACGTCCAGCAGGACGGTCTGCAGGCGCGAGGAGGCGGCCGCCCGCAGCCGTGCGGCCCCCGACTCCGTCAGGCAGCCCGCCAGCACCTGCAGCCCCCGCGCGTCCAGCTGCCGGGCCAGCAGGTTGCCAAAGCCCGAATCGCAGCCCGTGATCAGCACAAACTTCTCCTCCAGGCCGGGCACCGTCTGCCGCTCGCGGTGCCATCGCCACAGCAGCCACAGCCCCAGCAGCGCCAGCAGCCACAGCCACATCCTGACCGGGGGCAGCAGCAGCAGCAGCAGCACGAAGAGGAGAAGGAGGAAGAGCAGGAGGAGGTGGAGGCGGCCGGGACTCGCTGAGCACAGCGGGGACACCGCAGCAAAGTGCAGAGCAGTGCCGAGCGACGCCTCCGGCCTCTGCTGACCTTGGACTTGCCCAACCCCGGTCCGGGAGCAGCGCCGTGCCAGCTCAGCTGAACACAGGGCCGGGCAGAGGCTCAGCCCGTCCTCCTGCGTTCCATGCAGAGCAGCCAAGCTGCAGCCGGATCGATGCGCTGCGCTCCCCGTCCCGTATCGCCCGCCGTGCAGCTTTACGGCGTTTGCGGACGCTGCTCATACCCATGTTCTCTCGCAGGGACCCGCGTGAGCCGCGCACGCAGAGCTTTGGGTCCCATCCGCGGCCCCCGGCCTCTCGCTCGGCCCCTCGGCAAAGCCGCCCCTGGTTGGCACGGAGCCGAGAGCATCCATCCCGCCGCCCTCGGGCCACCGCGCGGCTGCTGCCCCACATGAGCGGGGCGCCGAAGGGGCTCCTCTTCCGGCACTCGGGGCGGGATGAGGTCGGGACGCAGCGGGAGGAGGCACCGGCAGGGCAGGGACCGGGTCGGTGCCGGGGCTGAGCCCCGCGGGGCTCCCCGTCTTTCTGCTCCGGTGCCTCGACGGCTGGCGCCGCGCCGAGCCGCGCCATGCCGTTCCGGGCGGGGCCGCACTACATCTCCCAGCGACCCGCGGGTTCCTTCGGCCCCTCCGCTTCCCTCCGCTTCCCGCCATGGCGCCGTTCGAACCGGCGGCGCTGCCGGAGCTGCTCCCGGTGTTCTACCGCCGGCTCTTCCCGCACGGCGCCTACGGCCGCTGGCTCGGCTACGGCGGCGGTGAGCGGCGGAACCGGGCTGCACCCGGCGGGGCGCGGGGAGGCGAGTGCGGGGCTGAGACCGCGCACCGGCAGGGTCCGCGTGCCCCCCCAACCTCCCCAACCCACCCCGCACCCCCGCAGTGGAGAAGAACTACTTCCAGCTGCGGGAGTTCTCCTTCACGCTGCGGGACGATGTGTACGTGCGGTTCCAGTCGTTCGGCAGCCCGCAGGAGCTGGAGAAGGAGCTGCAGAGGACCAACCCGTACAAGATCGACATCGGCGCCGTATATTCGCATCGCGTGCGTCCCCCCCTTCCCCCGCCCCCGAACTCCCCGGTGGTTGCGGGAGGACGACGGGGTGACCCCTCTGCTCCCCGCAGCCCAACCAGCACAACACGGTGCACCTCGGGGCGTTCCAACCCGTGGAGAAGGAGCTGGTGTTCGACATCGACATGACCGACTACGATGACGTCCGGACGTGCTGCAGGTTCCCGGGGGGGCTGAGGGCTGCGGGTTCCCGGGGGGGTTGGGGGGGGCTGCAGCCCCGTAGAGCCGGGATGGCGCCCGCCTGACTGCTGTGCTCTGCCCGCAGCTCGGCCGACATCTGCTCCAAGTGCTGGACTCTGATGACCATCGCTGTCCGTGTGATTGACCGCGCGCTCGTGGGTGAGAGATGCGGGGAAGCACGCAGCCCGCTGCCCTTCGTAGTGATGCCTTGAAATGGGTCTAGGGGAGCACTGCTGTGGGGCTGGAGCAGGAGCAGAGGGCAGGCAGGTGCCCGGCGTGCTCCCCCAGCCCCTCTGTGCCCCATAGAGGACCTGGGCATGAAGCACCGCCTGTGGGTGTACTCGGGACGGAGAGGTGTGCACTGCTGGGTCTGCGACGACGCCGTGCGCAAATGGTCCCCGGCGCTGCGTGCGGCCGCTGTGGAGTACCTGAGCCTGGTGAAGGTGGGCGCATGGGGGGAAGGGTTGTGCTGCCCACCTCCTTGGGCTGACCACGCTGTCCTTGCCAGGGTGGAGCTGAGACGGTGAAGAAGGTGAACCTCTCGGAGCCCGTGCACCCCTTCATCAGGTGGGTGGAGATGTGCTGCCCGGTGCGGAGCCGATGGCCGTGGGGTGCTGAGCTCCATCTGCTCTGCAGGCGGTCGGTGAACGTGGTGGAGAAGTACTTCGAGGCGTACGCACTGCAGGGCCAGGACGTCTTGGGCAGCCCCGAGCGCTGGGACAAAGTGCTGGCCTTGGTCCCAGAGGGTATCCTTCCAGCTGCTCTGCTCAGGGTGGGCGGCGGGGTTCGCGTTGGCTGTGATCGGCCTTAACAGCTGGCAGAGCACCGTGAGCTGCTGCAGAGCGAGTTCCCCAAGAAGCGCGACTCAGTGCAGCGCTGGGAGCTGCTGAAGGGCCGCATGGAGCGGACACGGGTGAGTGGCTGTGGGGTGGTTCTGGGTGGCTGTGGGGTGGCTGTGGGGCAGTGCTGCTCCCTGACTGCCTGTACCCACAGCGGGCAGCAGGCAGTGGGAAGGGCACGGCGTGCTATGCAGACTGGGAGATCATGCTGCAGTACTGCTTCCCACGGCTCGACATCAACGTCAGCAAAGGCATCGGGCACCTCCTGAAGAGCCCCTTCAGCGTCCACCCCAAAACAGGTGGGTCTCTGAACCCCAAATTGGGGGTTCCGGCTGTTTGGGGTCAGCAGCCCATGCGGGGCACCCTGGGCAGCAGTTCCATCTCTTGCAGGCCGCATCTCGGTGCCACTGGACCTGCAGAGGTTGGATGACTTCGACCCGTTCGCAGTGCCCACCATCAGGTCTGCACATCAGGCTGGTGGCGGGGGATCCCCAGCTGTGGGCAGCCCCCCACATGCCGCCTTTCCCTGCAGCTCGCTGTGCCAGGAGCTGGATGCGGCTGGCGATGATGCAGAGCAGGAGGACAGCGAGGAGACGGAGCCAAAGCGGCGGATGCGGGGTGAGCGGGGCCGGGGGGCAGCAGGGGGGGTTAACTGCTGGTGTGGGCAGGCCGGGTGGGGGGTCCAGGCCCACCCCCTTCACCTCCCTCTCCTCAGACTACCGGCGGACGCAGCTGGCGCCCTACGTGAAGGCCTTCGAGCAGTTCCTGGAGGAGATGGAGCGCGCGCGGCGCGGGGAACGGCTGTGGAGGAGCGGTGAGCGCTGGGGATCCCGCCGCTCCCAGCTGCTCTTCATTGCTTATTGAAAACCTAATGAGGTTCAGTAAGGCCAAGTGCAGGGTGCTGCGTTTGGGTCAGGGCCATCCCAGGTATTCACACAGACTGGGGAAAGATCTTGAGAGCAGAGAAGGACTTGGGGGTCCTGGTAGACGAGAAGCTGGACACGAGGCAGCAGCGTGCGCCTGCAGCCAGCTGTGTTCTGGGCTGCATTAAAAAAGTCGTCCCCCTCTATGGGCTCTGGCGAGGCGCCATCTGCAGCGCTGCGCCCAGGCCTGGGGCCCTCAGCACAGGAAGGACGTGGAGCTCTGGGAGCGGGTCCAGAGGAGGCACTGAGATGAGCAGAGGGCTGGAGCAGCTCTGTGTGAGGAAAGGTTGAGGGAACTGGGGCTTGTTTAGCTGGGAGAAGAGAAGGCTGCGGGGAGACCTCATGGTGGCCTTCCAGCACTTGAAGGGAGCGGATAAACAGGAGGGGGAACGGCTGTTGGTGAGGGTGGGTGCTGACAGGACAGGGGGGAATGGTTTTAAAGTGAGACAGGGGAGGTGGAGGTTGGATATGAGGAGGAAGTTTTTCACACACAGGGTGGTGAAGCACTGGAACAGGTTGCCCAAGGAGGCTGTGGATGCCCCAGCCCTGCAGGCATTCAAGACCAGGCTGGATGTGGCTCTGGGCAGCCTGGGCTGCTGGTTGGCGACCTGCACACAGCAGGGGGTTGGAGCTGGATGAGTGCTGTGGGCTTTTGCAACCCAGGGCATTCCATGATTCTATGATTCTATGATCATTTGATCTCTAAAACCCCATTTCTGCTCTTTCCCAGACCTGCAGGGAGAGTTCTGACCACGCTGCCGGCAGCCCCTGCCCTTGGGAGGCCGTTGATTGACCTTGATTGACGTCTGCTGCTGCTATGGGGCAGGGAGACTGACCCCCCCCACTCCCCCGTTCCCTTCTCACTTCTTTTTATGCTTTTTGTACATTTTGTACCCAAAATCCATTAAAGGGCGCTGCTCAGCCCCGTGTCCGTGTCCCTGGGGGGCAGAAGGGATGGGGCTCCCGCGGGACAAAACTCGGAGCGGGGCAAAATTCCCGTTCCCGAGGAACGGCTCCCGTTCTCGTGCCCCGGAACGTCCGAACGTGGCCCGGAACGCCCGAGCGCAGCCGGCGGGGCGGGCGGGCGGAAGTGCGCCGCGCCTCTCCCCCGGAAGTGATTCTCTTTCCGGAAGTCGCGCCTTCCGCCGCTTGGTCTCTTTTCGCCGCCATCTTGGGCTCCGCTTCCCGTACAGTGAGTGTCGCCGCCGCCATCCGCCTCCATCCGCCACCGCGTGGGGCCGGGAGTGCGGCCGGGACGGGAGGGAATGCGGGAGGGCGGCGGCGGAGCGGTCGGGGCCCTCGGTGGGGCCAGGGCAGCTCCGAGAGGGCAACGCCGGGGCGGCCCCGCGGGGACGGCTCCGCGCGGCGGGGGGAGGCGGCTGAGGCCGCGGCCGGGCAGAGGGGAGGCGGGAGAGCCGCGTAGGCCGCTGCCGGTCCGAGCCATGGGGTGGCGTGGGATCCGCTCCCGTCTGCTCTGTGCTGGGTCCGCGCTGTTGTTACCGGCGCGGGCAGCAGCCGGGCGGCCCTCGGTACCGGTTGATCTCCGAGCCCCCGGTGTGCGGTGCCGTTGGGTAAGGCCCATTGCCGGCGTCTGAAGGCGGCCCTTCGGGGATTTCTCAGGGCGGCCGCGAGTCCGGTGTGGTTTTTTTTTCCCCTTGTTCACGCAGAAATGCCTGGCGAAGCTACAGAAACCGTCCCGGCCACAGAGCAGGAGCTGCCGCAGCCACAGGCCGAGACAGGTGAGCCGGGGCTCCGGACCGGCGCTGGGAGAACCGCTGAGCCGTGAGCCCATGGTGGGGGAAAGCAGCAGTGGGGCGGCTGAAGGCAGCGCTGTGGGCTCCGTGCTGCCCTGGGGTTCACTCAGTCCCAGCCTGGTCCTCGGCCAGCCAGGCCCAGCAGAGTTGGTGGCCCTGGGTTGCAACAGGGGCACCTTCTGTCTGCCCTCATATCGCTGTGCTGCTCACTGTGCCCGGGTAAAATCTATGAGTGCTTTGCGCCCGTGTGCCTGCTGTAGCATCTTTTAAAGGCAGGGGTTACTTCTAGAGGAAGCTTTGGTCACCGAAGTTATGTTTTTTGTCTGCATTCAGGAGGCGTTGCATCATCTACACTGGCATGAAAACGCACATGGGAAGAGCGTGCAGTGCGTGATGGGCAAATAGTTGATGTGGCCAAGGGTGTGGGAGAGGTGGGACGCAGGAGAAGCTGGGGCAGCCTGAACAGTCAGAAGCTGCTGGCAGGGTGCATCCATTGCCAGGCGGTGGCCTCCTGGCTCTTGGAGCAGGTTGAAGTGACGGCTGCTGTGTGACAGCTGTGTGGCTGTGTCTGGGGGCAGCTGCTCCATTCCCTGTCAGGCATAGCTGGGATTCCTGCGGCTCGGTTGCCTGCCAGGAGCTTGTGTCCATGGGGCCTCTCCTGGGGCACTGTGCTTCACTGGGTCACCTTCTGTCAGCACCGTGCTGCTCTCGAATCTCTCACAGCGTCGTGGAGGCTGGGAGAAGTTGATCCCAGGCTGAGCTGCCAGTGCTGTGCCAGTGCTGTCCCCTGCCCTGGGGGGTGGCGTGGGGTGGTGAGGCAGAGCGGGGCTGGTTGCCCCCTCTTGTTTGTTGAGGAGGTGGAAGAGAGAGCGCAAGGACTGTCGTGGTCGTCGTGTCTGTGCTGAGCCAGCCCCCCTGGGGCCAGGCCAGGCAAGAAGCCGGGCTTTGGAGGGCTCTGGTGCAGGGTGGGAATCTTCAGTGTCTTCCTCTGGCTTTCATCTCATGCTTTGGAGGTTAGCTGGTGTGTGGGAAGTTTGTGACGCTCAGCACAGAGGTCTCCGTGCAGGGCAGGGCTCCAGCCTCTAGCGTGCATGTGGCCTGGTCACAAGAGGCTTTGCAGTCTATTTACTGTAAACATCCCTTAACAAATTACACATGGTTTGCAAAGAGCCCCCACTCCACATTTGTTTGTGGAAGTGGCTGCTGGAGAAGGAGGGGTTGTGTGTGGGGCTGATTACAGGACGGCCTCACACAGTGCTCTCTGGTGCGTGGGGGTGAAGGAACGGAGAGGGCTGGACAGGATTTTTCTTAAGAGAGCAGAGTTGTCCTTTCTGCTTGCTCAGTACGGGGCTGGAGGCCAGCGCGCTCTTGGCAGGACGCACTGCTCCTTTTTGAAGTGTTTATGGCTTCCCCCCGAGCTGAAGTGTGCTGGTTGATGCTGGCTGTCCTGGCCAGTGGCTGGAGCATCCAGCAGAGCAGCTCAGGCTCCTCTGCTGCTCTGTGTTTTGGAATAGCATGGGGTCAGCAGGGTGTTAGAAACATCTTCTGAGCCATGGTTCTTGGGCAAGAAAAAGTGAGCCCACCTGAAGAAGCAGCTGTTGTGGGTCTTTCCTGTGTGTGTTGCTGCTCTGGGCAACGGAGAGGGGGGGCGTGGAGTACCTGACTGGCTGTGGTCTTAATTTGGGAAAGATAGAGCCCTCCTGTGGGAGATCCATGTGGGGTGGCTCCTTCCTACAGGACAGCAGGCAAGAGTCAGCACCCAGAAGTTGCTGACTTTTCCCAGAAGGGAAAAAGGAGGAAATCTGCTCCCGTCGCATGGCTGCAGCTCTGCAGGCTGCGCTGGGGCGCTCAGCCCTTGGCAGGAGGCCTGGCCACGTCGCCCCTGTCTCCATGTCGCCCCTGTCTCCATGTCGCCCCTGTCTCCATGTCGCCCCTGTCTCCATGTCGCCCCTGTCTCACGTCACCGTGGGCGTGCGGGGCTGTGCTGCCCACACAGCCGGTTCTGCTCTCCCGACTGGTGGCACCAGTTCTGCTGGTCTGATCCGTGCTGCTGCCTGGGCTCTCACGCTGCCTCTCCCCTGCCCGGGGCTGCTTTGGTTCTGTGTCAGGCGTTGGGAATGGCCCTGCTGCGTGGAACGGGGCAGTGAGCGCTCCGAATGTAACAACCTGTCCTTCTCACCGTTCAGTTCCAGCTGCCCTCCCTCCTGCAGCCCCTGCTGCCACTTCTCCTGCCGCAGCGCCAGGTACTCAGAGCTCCTCAGTAACACCCCGTGTGTCACATTAACCACAGCGTGCTGTTCTGGATGTTTGTAGTTGCATTAACCCTGCTGGTGTGCAGAGGGAGAACTCTGGGTCCTGGCCCTGTCCTTGCTCAGAGGAGCCAGGCAGGCTTCCTCCTGGTGCTCCTGGGAGGCTGCTGGGGGAGGCTGGCTGCCTGCTGCTCTCCAGCTCCCTCTGTGTCATCCCTGAGCCTGGGACCGCTTCCCAGCGCTGGGGAGTGCTGGAGCCCGGGGTGGGGTCCCTGAGAGCTGCCGGGGCATCGTGCCCCTGGGGGCTGGAGCTGTGGGGAGCCCAGAGCCAGAAGGCGGACGGCGGGCTGTTGTGGGTGTGCGTGTGTTTCTTCCTGTGCTGCCCTTGTTTTCTCCTTTTTTCTCATGGGTTCACTTTGTTTCTTTCCTTCAGCTGTTCTTCCTGCCGCTCATTCCCTGCCTCTGACTCCAGCCGTGGGCCCAGCTGCCCAGGCTGTTCCCACGGAGCCGCCCAGCTCTGCCCCAGCCGTGCCCCCAGCCCCTCTCTCCCCTGCTGTGGTCCCAGCTGCAGCAATTCCTGTCTTCTCTGCCCCTCCCCAGCCCTCTGCCGCAGCTCTGCCCCTCCCAGTTACTTCTTCCCCTCCTCCAGCTCCAGTTCCACCATCCCCAACTGGTTTTGCTGCCCAAGGTTCTCCAGGGCCTGCTGCTGTCCCAGTCAGCCCAGTGTCTCCAGGACTCCCAGTCCCAGCGTCTCCAGTTCTGGCTGCTCTTCCTGCTGCAGGACAGGCAGCCCCCCCGGCAGCCCCCCCATCTCCAGCGAGTCTCGGCTGTCTCCCAGCTGCTCTTACGCCTCCTGTGAAAGTCTCTACTCCTCCCAGCCCCGCAGGAGCCACAGCGGCCCCTCACCCTGCGCCTCCCAGGAGCCCCGAGGCAGCCCCAGCTGCTCTGCCACCTCCCCTGGCAGCAGCCCCTGCAGGTGCCGCAGCTCTTCCCCAGAGCCCCCCTGCGATGCCAGTGCACCCTGCTGCACCTCTGCCCCCTCCAGCTGCCCCGCTGAGCCCAGCCCTGGCAGCCACCATCTCCCCACCCATCTTCCTGTCTGCCCCCATGGCGCTGGCCCCTCTGCTGCCAGGTGGCACAGTCCCCTGCAGCGCTGCTGCTCCCCTGCGGGGCCCTGTGTCTGGGACTCCCATCTGTCCGCTGGCTCCGGCTGCTCCTCCCGGGACCCTGACCTGTCCTGTGGGCCCTGCCCTGGCAGCCCCTGGCTCCCCCGCAGGTCCCCATTCTGTGGCCAGGCCCCCCCCTGCGAGCCCGATTCCTGTGTCAGCCCCTGTCCTGCTCAGCCCATCCCCAGCAGCTGCCTTGTCCCCCTCAGGGCCGCCACCAGCATCAGCAGCTCCCGTTAAAGCAGCTCCAGTGACCCCTGTCTCACTGCCAGCTGCTGTGACTGCTGCTCCTGCCAGTCCCCTGCCTGTCACATCAGCGATGGCAGCTCCAGCCACCCCTCCTACGGCCAAAGGAGCACCCCAGAGCCCACTGCCTGCTCCACTGACTCCCTCTGCCCCTGCTGCACCAGCTCCTGTGGTTCCTCCAGCCTCTGCTGCCACCAAAGCAGCAGCCCACAGCCCAGTCACCAGCTCGTCCGCCTCTGCTGCTGTGGTTTCTGCAGCTACCCCTGGTGCCACAAAAGCAGCTCCACAGAGTCCTGCTGCTGCCACTCCAACCCCTGCAGCTGCCCCTGCTGCCACCAAAGCAGCTCCCCAGAGTCCTGCTGCCACTCCAGCTCCTGCAGCTGCCCCTGCTGCCACCAAAGCAGCTCCCCAGAGTCCTGCTGCTGCCACTCCAGCTCCTGCAGCTGCCCCTGCTGCCACCAAAGCAGCTCCCCAGAGTCCTGCTGCTGCCACTCCAGCTCCTGCAGCTGCCCCTGCTGCCACCAAAGCAGCTCCCCAGAGTCCTGCTGCCACTCCAGCTCCTGCAGCTGCCCCTGCTGCCACCAAAGCAGCTCCCCAGAGCCCAGTCACTACGCCCTCTGTCTCTGCTGCTGCAGTTCCTGCAGCTCCCCAAGCTGCAGCTGCCCCTGCTGCCAACAAAGTGGCTTCCCAGAGCCCTGTTACTGCTGCACCAGCTCCTGCAGTTCCTCCAGCAGCCCCCTCTGCAGCCAAAGCAGCTCCTGGGAGCCCAGCTGCTGCCCCCTCTGTCCCTGCCAGCTCCCCGCCTGTCACACCTGTGCTGGCAGCTCCAGCTGCACCCCCTGCAGGCAAGAAGTCCCCAAAGAGCTCCGCTGCTGCCACATCGTCTCCCTCTGCTGCAGCAGCTCCGCCAAGTCCTGCAGCTCCAGCTGCCCCCACTGCAGCCAAAAAGCCCCCAAAGAGCTCTGCTGCTACCCCCTCTGCCTCTGCTGCACCAGCCCAAGCTGCAGCCAAAAAGCCCCCCAAGAGCCCTGCTGCTGCCCAGGCTGCTCCCTCTGCTCCTGCCACAGCTCCACCAGCTCCAGCGGCCCCCCCTGCGGCCAAAAAGCCCCCAAAGAGCCCCACTGCTGCCCCATCTGCTCCCCCTGCCCCTGCAGCTCCAGCATCTTCAGCTGCAGCCAAAGCACCTCCCAAGAGCCCCACTGCCACCCAGTCTAATCCCTCTGCCCCTGCTGTAGCCAAAACACCTCCCAAGAGCCCCACTGCCACCCAGTCTAATTCCTCTGCCCCTGCTGCACCCAAAGCACCTCCCAAGAACCCCGCTGCTGCCACGGCAGCCCCTGCTGCTCCCTCTGCCCCCCCTGCAGCCAAGGCAGCTCCTGCCAGCCCGGCAGCCCCTGGCACGCTGCCTCCGGCTCCAGGTGCTGCTGCCTCAGCCCCGGGGGCTCCTGGTGCCCTCCCAAAGCCAGCAGCCGATCGTGCTGCCCCCGCACCCCAGAAAACAGAGGCCACCCCTCCTGCCTCTTCTGTGCCGAACGCTGCCCCTGCCAAGAAGCAGCCCCCCACCAATAAAGGCAGCAAGCAGGCCCCACGTCCGTCCCCAAGCAAGCCTCCCGTGAAGGCCCCCGTTCCCGCCAGTGCTGCAGTTGATGACGATGATGACCTGCCCCCCCTGATCCCCCCCGAGGTGCCCGCTGCCGAGCCGCCGCTGCAGCCCATCCTGGTGGACCTCTCTCCCCGAGCAGCCGAGGCCCCCGCTCCTAAGCAGCCCATGGTGAAGAACGACAAGGGTACTGCTGGTCAGCACGGTTTGCCGTGTGCATGGAGTGTCGCTGGCTGCCCACCAGATACTAACCCACCACGGGCCCCGAGTGCCCCCCGTGTCGCCCGGTGCGTCCGTGTGCCGTGCTGAGGGGGGTGGGGGGCCGAGGCTGTGCCATCACCTCTGCGGCGCTCAGCACGGCGCCTGCAGGCTGCTGTCACTAACAGTGTCCTCGGGCACGGAGCGCGGTGTGAGCTGTGTGCGTGCTGGGACTGCTGCCTGAGCTGGAGCTTCGGGAAGAGCTGCTCCGCGCTGTGCCCAGCTGCGTGGGCTCGGTGTTGGCTGGGTGTTTCCCGCTGTCCATCCCCCACAAGTGTGGAGCTGGGGGCCGTGCTGGTGCCAGCTCCATCCTGGGGCGTTGGCATCTCCCAGCAACCCGCAGGGACCTTTGTGCGGGCTCCTGCGTGCGTGGTTCCAGAGAAGGAAGCAGGCGTGAAGTTGGGTAACGGCTGCATGAGAGAGCACCGCGCACACCGGCAGCCTGCTCTGCGGGCTGGGGACACGCAGCTCTGCTTTGTGCCTTCCTGCACGGCAGGCAAAGCTGTGCAGTGTTCTGGAAGGTTCCGTGCACTGCAGCAGCAAGAGCTGGCGGAGAGGCCAACCTGAGTGTCCAAAATGGTGCTTTTTGATGAGAGCTTTCAAACTAAGTACGGATCATCCTGTCATCCAGTCACGGAGAGGTGCAGCAGCCTCAGGGACCTGGTGGGCTGGGTCTTGAATCAGTGCCGTGTCTCAGCTCCTGCAGCACCAGCTGCTGAACAGGTTTGAGGAGCTCTGAGAGCATTGCTGCTGACTCACAGCCCTGGGCGGCGCTGCCCTACCTGGGCCAAGGCTTTGGTCAGGGGCCTTGGCGTTGGAGCGAGCCTTTGGGCCCACGCAGAGCTCCGGCAGCCCCACAGGGCACCGCCTGGCCGGTCACAGCGCCCTGCTGTGGCTTCTCCGGCCGCTCCTGGGCATCTTCCACCGTGCTGAGAGCCGGTGGCACTGCGTGGCCCGCCGCTGTCCCTGCTCGTGGCTGCAAGGAGAACTCCTCCCACCAGGTGCTGCTCAAGCGTATTTAATGGCAGTGCATTTCACTTGGGGCTTTTTAACTGTGTCGGCACCTGGAACCCCCAGCGACAGTTGACACCAAGGCATTAGGGTTCCATGATCTGATTTTGCGTCCCTTGAAGCTACCTGCAGCTTCTGGCAAGGTGCTGAGCTGAGAACTGTGACGTGTTCGTTTCTGCAGGGTCCGGAACAGAGTCTGACAGCGATGAGTCTGTACCAGAGCTCGAAGAGCACGACTCCACACAGGCCACGACACAGCAGGCACAGGTAGGGAGGGGTGCGAGGAGCCACCCCTGTGCCTGCGGGGTCAGAGGAGCCCTGCGCCCCGCCAGCTCTGCCTGGTTCTCACAGCGCTCTCCTGTTTGCTCTTCTTGCAGCTTGCAGCAGCAGCTGAAATAGATGAAGAACCTGTTAGCAAAGCAAAACAGAGCCGGAGTGAAAAGAAAGCACGGAAGGTAAGGGGGTGGCAGATGGGCAGATGTGCGTGTGGACAACCTCTGGCTTTGGGTCTGGCATATTACCCCTCCCCAAGTGCTTGGCGTTTGCTTTGGGAAGCCATTTGGGGCAGCAGCTCCTCACCTCCCAGCACTGCAGCAGTAGGGTCTGTGGGAGCTGCAAGAGGTTTGTATGACTTTTTGCCTTCATTAAACCCCTAGGCAAGGCAATGTCCCTGTTTACAGGCAAAATCCTTGTGTCTGGAGTGGCTCCAGCTCATGGTGTGGATCCATGGCGTGAATCTTTGCCTGTCCTGGGGGTTGAGTTTCCTCCCGGACTCTGCGCTGTGTCAGCCTGAAAACCTGGGGATGTCTGATGAGGGGACACATCTCATCACGGCCTGAGCTGTCTCAGCACCTCTTCATCCCCCCACTTTTCTTTCTCATTTGTTTTTCAGGCAATGTCTAAACTCGGCCTCCGCCAGGTCACAGGAGTAACCAGAGTCACCATCCGCAAATCCAAGAACATCCTCTTTGTCATCACAAAACCAGACGTGTACAAGAGCCCAGCATCAGACACCTATATAGTCTTTGGAGAAGCAAAGGTGAGCTCACTGCCGTGCCAGGCAGCCACGCTCCTCCATGCTCACAGCAGCAGGGCAGGCTGCAGAGCTGTGAGGGCTGCTGGGGGTTTGTCCTTGCTGCCTGCACCCCTGTTTGTGCCCTGGGGTGGCGCAGGCAGGCCCACAACCCACACCAATGTCTTGCATCCCTGTGGGGCTGCTGTCTGTGGGTGCTCCTGAGCTCAGCCTCACCCATCTGAGCCCGTGTGCTGCCGTCAGACTGCACAGACCTGGCCTTACTTCTGCTCCTTCCCTCCTCCAGATTGAAGACTTGTCCCAGCAGGCCCAGCTGGCAGCTGCCGAAAAGTTCAAAGTGCAAGGAGAAGCTGTGTCAAACATCCAAGAAAACACACAGACTCCCACCGTGCAGGAGGAGAGCGAGGAAGAAGAGGTGAGCCTTCCCCAGACGGCCCCGCAGGGCTGCTCCATCCACCTCCTGCCTGTGGTTGTGTCTGATGGGCAGCCAGCAGGATTTGTGTGCGGGCACAGAGTTCTCCTCCATCCACCTCTGCCTCAATGGCAGCAGGGTGCCTCTAGGGCGGCACAGCGGGGGCTGCTCAGAGCCAACGGTGCTCGGCTGCAGTCAGACCCGCGCTCTGTGTCCTTAGGTTGACGAAACCGGTGTGGAGGTGAAAGACATCGAGCTGGTCATGTCCCAGGCCAACGTGTCCCGAGCAAAGGCAGTCCGCGCCCTGAAGAACAACAGCAACGACATCGTAAACGCTATAATGGTGAGCTGCTGAGTGCCGGGGGGGGGCTGCACCCCCATCCCCCCCCTGCTGTTTGGGGGTCACTGGGGGGCTGCTGACGCCTCTTTCTCTCCGCAGGAGTTGACGATGTAGCCGTCCAGATGGAGGAGCCTATTTTTTTTTTTTTTGGTATTTCAGAGAAGAGTTAAAGGAACCTAAATTTAAAATTTGTACTGTTTCTATCAGTTAATAAAAGTTAATTGATAGAGCCGCACTGAGTGAAGGCGCAGCTTCTCTCGGACGCCCCCCGTCTCCATGGCGACCGCCGACTCCGCCCCCCGCGACGGCGCGCGCAGTGCGCATGCGCGCCGAGAAGCTGCTAGAAGGGAGGAGGGAGCGGGCGCGCGCGAGGGGGGGGACGGGGAGGGGGCGTGGCCCGCGCGCGGGAGGCGACACGCGGGGCATGCGCATGCGCAGCGAAGGCGGCCGAATCGGCGCGGCGGTATTTTGCTGCGTCACCGACGCTGGGCGCCGCCGCCGCGCGGAGCATCGTGGGAGCCGAGGCCGCGCCGAGCCCGGAGCCCGCGGAGCGCCCGGAGCCCTCGGCCGCACCGAGCCGCGTCACCGCCAGACCGGAGCGGAGCGCCCCGGAGCCGGACGGGCCGCCCCTCCCCCCGCCCCGAGCAGCGCCAGCCGGAGCCGCCGACGCCTCTCGCCATGTGAGGCCCCGGGGGGGGTCGGGGGGTCGCAGCGCTCCGGGGCGCGCCGCGGCCGGGCCGGGCCCTCGCGTGAACGGCGCTGACCTTCGGGGGCCGCACCGCGCCGGGCCGGGAGCTCCGCGCTCAGCCGCGCGGCGGGCCCCAATCCGCGGCCTGTCCCGGCACGGCGCCGCGCGAGGCCCCGGGAGCCGCTCCGAGCCGCGCCGCTCCGCCGCGCGATGAATGGGCACCGGGGCGGGGCCGCCCGCTGCTGCGGCCCGGGGTGGGGCCTGGAGGGGGTGGACGGGGCGGGGGGGCGCCGGGCCGCGTTGAGCGCTGAGCCCCCGGGGCTGGGCCGTTGGGGGCTCGGTTCCGATAGAAGCGCGGTGGTTGAAAGCGATGCGAACGGCGGCGCCGTTCCGACGGATTTTATTTGTCCCAGACTCGGCGCTTGGGGCAGATAAACGTCGGTTGCTCGGCGATGCGTCCGATGGGAGCGGCGTGGTTTTGCCCCTTAGCACCTGCGTGGCCCCGCTCTAAGCTCCGGCGCTGCTGGATGTGATTGAAAAGGAGAAAAGCATCGCAGTGCTCTGTGTAACCTTTGAGGAGTGCCTCATCCCGAAACCTCGGCGCTGCTGCACTGCGCCCGGGGTTGTGCTCACAGGGCCCACGTGGTGCTGGGAGATGAAAGCCGAAGTAGTTATGCAGAGCAGAACTTGTAACGCTGGATGTGGAGCTGGGAGGTTTTCTTGTGATCCTGTCTGGGGGTGAGAATCTTTGTCCGGCAGATGATGTCTGTAACCATCAGGGTGCTCTGCAGAACAGGAATGTGCCTTCCCAATGAGTTGTAGTGTGCAGAATGGGTAAGAAAAAGCACGTGGGCAGCTTTGGGAACATCCCGGATGGCCTCAAGCAGCGCCCAGTGTGACCTGAGCTCAACCCAGGGACACAGGGCGTGAGGATCCCCCCCAGCTGTGCCCACCAAAGGGTGAGGGGGCTTCTCAACCCAGCGCAGTGCTGCAGTGATGCCATCCACGTGGGATTGTGATAGGACAAGGGGAATGGTTTTAAACTGAGCCAGGGGAAGTTTAGGTTGGATATGAGGAGGAAGTTTTTCCCCAGAGGGCGGTGAGGCCCTGGAATAGGTTGCCCAAGGAGGCTGTGGATGCCCCAATCCTGGAGGCTGGATGTGGCCCTGGGCAGCCTGGTCTGGTTGGCGACTGCACACAACAGGGGGTCGGAACTCAATGGTCATTGTGGTCCTTTGCAACCCAGGCCATTCCGTGATTCCATGATGAGAGGAGGGTTCAACAGAGGTGAGGTGTAGAGTGGAGGTGTTTGTTCAGGAGGTTCCCAGAATCTGTGGGTGGTGATGAGAGCCCACCAGGAGTTTGGGGAGGGTTCCATTGCTGCACTGGGCACTGCTTTGTGCCTGGCAGTTTGTTGCTGGGTGGGACGTAACGTTTATTTGCTCTGTTCTGGAGCAGCTGAGTGTGGTCAGGGCAGGAGGATGATCCGTCACCAGAGCACACACTCGAGTTGACAATGTTGGCATAAGGCTGAGGTAATGTTCAATTAATTTATTCTGCTCTCATACTATGAGCTCAGCTGAGCGAGGAGGAAGCGCAGGGCTTTGCTTAACGATCCTGACATCCTTCCCATGCTGTGAGGAAATGGGTTCTGGGTCTGTGAGGCTGTGGGGGAACCACCTGCGCTGCTCGCCCAGGGGCTGCGCGCAGCAGCACAGCATGGGGTGGTGGCTTCTGGTGGGGATTCCTGCATAGCTGCCCTATTCACGTGCTGAGTCCTGCCTCAAGTGCTGCATCCAGCAGCCCGGGGAAGGCCTCTGTTCTGAGAAGGGGGAAAAATCGCGAAGTGGTTCCTTCCTGTAAGACTTTGTCACAGTTCTGATGTGTTACGGTGAGGTATTTCAGTGTCTGGGGAGGTAACAGAAGTTTGCCGTTAGGAACATGAGTTCATTCTGCTAAGCCGTAGTGCAGTTTGTGAGATTTTGGAGGCTCTGAGAGCAGTGCTGATGGTGCCTCCGAAAGCTGCATCTCAATAAAGATCCCAGCAGCAGGGCTGGGCTGGAGCAGCGCGACTGGGGAGCGCGTGCAGCTCGCAGGAAGGTCGGGGACGTCTCCGCCGGCACTGCAGCACGTGCAGAGGCTCCTCGCTATTCACAGGAGCCCCGGCGCCGCGCTTGGCCGGGACACTGAGGCTGCTGTTGTGGTACAGGCCGCTCGGGGTGCGGGATCTCTGTCCCTTAGCGGAGCGGTCGCTGCTGCGTGCAGCTCTGCAGGGCTGTGGGTACCCGTGGTGTTTGCTGCTCTCGCGGCTGCAGGCAGAGAAACTGAAACCAGACTGCCTTGGGGCAGTGCAGGGGTGGCCGCGGAGTGGATCCGCTTCGGCCTCGCTGCGCACGGCTGAGGGCCGCCTGCTTTCCTCCCCAGCAGCCCTTTTCCTGGTGCTCGTTTTGCTCACTCCCTTTGGCAGCCGAATTGCAGCAGCTGGGTCCCAGCTCTTCGCGGTCGGAAGGGAACTCGCAGTGGCTGTGGGCTGCCTTGGCTCGCAGCAGTGGCTGCGGGTCGCGGTGCAGGTGAGCGCAGTGCCAGCAGCTGAAGGGGCTGGGAGCTGAGATCTGCTGCGGAAGCTTAGCGGCGGTCACCCTGATGGAACATTCTGGAAACTTAATCCGTCTTTGCTTGGGCTCTTGTGCCGTAATGCTTCAGAGTGCAGTGCTGAGTCCGAGCGCCTCGTGGTGTGAAGATGCTGCAGAGAGCAGCACCGTGTTCCGTGCGTCCTGGTGTGCCTTCACTGCCTGGAGCTGTGCTGTAAATACCAAAGGAGGCGACCACTGGGTTCAGAACAGGAAACTTTGGGCCCAAAACATTGAAATTCCAGTGCTGCTCACGTCTCTGGAACGCGGCCTGGGAGCAAAGCGTCCGTGCTCACTGTGCCATAGCAACAGCAGCTCCTGCTGGGTGTCCCCGTGCTCGGCGCTGGAATGTTGTGCTGGGGGGGCTGGCTGTGTGGGAGCTGTCAGCAGGGCTGCTGGTGCCCCCTGGCCTGGGCTGCATGCACTCAAATGCTGCCGCTCACCTGGAGGTGGAGCAGGATGAAGCTGAGGAACCTGCAGCGTTTTGTGCAGCTGTGGGCTGACGGTGTTGTTCTGCTGGCTGCAGGAGGGCAGAAGTTGCCCTGTCTCAAGGGCTGCCGGCCTGGAGATGCAGGTGTGGAAATTAAACGTGGTCAGAACGCTGCTGGTTTGGTGGTACTGATTCCAGCTGGGTTTGACTTGAAGCTCTGAGCTTGTTTTCTCTTCAGCCTTTGTGTCTCTTTGTCAGCTTTAAATGCACTTTTAAGGGTGGTTAATGGTGAGCTCGTAGCTGAGAACAGGCAGAAGGTTTTCAGATGCGCTCTGACTCGGGCTGCTCTGTGCCTCGGGGAAACAGAGGGAAGCTGAAGGCGAGCAGCGGCCCTGACCTGTGCATCTTGATGTGTGTCTGCAGGCAGCCTGCTTCTGCCAAGTGGTACGACCGGAGGGACTACGTCTTCGTGGAGTTCTGCGTGGAGGACAGCAAAGATGTCAGTGTAAACTTTGAAAAGTCCAAGCTCACGTTCAGGTGGGTGCCGGGCGCCTCGGCGCAGCCGCTGCTGTTGGGCGGCGTCTCTGGAAGCAGCCAGTTCAGCTGCCGGCCTGGATCGGTGCCGTTTGCTCCCTGCTGAGTGCTTTTTTTCTTCTCTCTCCAGTTGTCTTGGAGGAAGCGATAACTTTAAGCATTTAAACGAAATCGACCTTTTTAATAATATTGATCCAAATGTAAGTATCCTCTGCAGCTCTCCTGCCCCTTCTTAACGCCGCGTGCACAACGCTCAGCTCTTCCTCACGCCCGTCTGCCTTTCCTGGAGCGAGTTGCACCCTGCAGAGCAGAGCTGCTTCCCCAGCTGCTGCTGCTTCCTGTTGTCCTCCCCACCCTGGGGCAGGACGGAGTTCTGCTCAGGGAGCCCCAGGCGCTCAGCACTGCTTCGCCTGCTGCCTTTGCTCACAGTTCCCACTGTTGTGATTAAAAGCGAAGCACTGATGTCTGGATTGATGCAGATCTGCTCGTAATGGAGCCGTTCTGACAAACACCACGCGGTGACTTCGTGTGTCTGAGCGTTGTTGCACTCTAAGGACCAGCTTCCTTACAATGCTGGAAGTAGCTTTAGGAACAGACACTGCTTTTCATTACAGAGAATAACTTAAGGCTCAAAACAATGAATGCTACAAGCTCGTGGTGGTGGCAGTGATTACCAAACTAACCAATATCTACTTGTTTTTTTTTCCCCAGGAATCAAAGCATAAAAGAACAGACAGATCTATCTTGTGTTGTTTACGAAAAGGAGAATCTGGTCAGGCATGGCCAAGGTTAACAAAAGAGAGGGCAAAGGTGGGTTGCATCCCCCTGGTGGCCGTATCAGCAGTCCTGATGCCCCCTCTGTTTTGGGGGTGGGGTGGTGTTGGAATGGTGCGGCGTTTGCGGGCCGCTTGCTTTGCTGCTGGTTGGGATGGCAGCGCTGGCAGCTCTCTTCC